AAATTTCAAGGTCAACTCAGAAGCTGATTACAGTTTTTGGTCTTTCATTATTTGTAATTTTAAAAAAAAATTTTTTTGCTATTTCAAACATGAAATAGGAACAAACCAATCACCCTGAGAAAAACAAGGAGAGTTTTTGATCAGAAGAAGCATGTGACCTTGTGAATAACAAAAAATTCTGAAACAACCAATTTCCTTTCTACTAAACAACACTGTGCTGAAACTGAAAGGCAACTTATTGACTACTGTATTCAAAGGGAGAGCAAAGCTCAGTCAGCTAAAGCTACAAAACTGTAGCCACAGAGGTGGTCTTTTGGTGTACGTGTTGCTTGTCAGATTACGAGTATATATATATATGTGTCACAAGGCAGTCGAATCGTCAAACTCGTCAATTTTGGGGCTTATGGAGTGATTGGTAAAAAGCTTTTTCATAGTCTTACTTTCTATGAAAAAAAATACTCATCTATCTTAAATAGAAGCTGAGTTATTTGCAGATAAAAGGAGGTGGCGGTCACCTAATTTCAGAGGTAAAAATAGCAAGAAAATGGCCTGCAAAGTTAGGTGACTTCCAAAGCTTGAGAGTCCTTGAGAACTACAAATTAGATTTTTGTGCATTTAAGCAACATTTTTCAGTAAAAAACACACAGAATGTGCTTTTTAAATGAACGTAAAAGGTGATAAGACAAAAAACATAAATTCTATAAAAATTACCAAACAAGCAAAAAAATTCTGGTTTCTTAAGTTTCATCATTTTGACAAGCGCCTGATTTCTCCACACTGCCTTTCACATATGTATTTGAAAGAATTAGTGTGCAATTAGTATGCATCAAACGTTGATGCAAATCATATTTCAGTGAGAAGCATCTAGATCCATCGGGGAGTGGGTGCTGTAGAAGTACTCCTTGTTATTATGATCATTTATTTATCATTAAAACTGTACCCATGTGTCTGCGCTGATGCATGCTGAGATCGTTCTTGTGTATAAAGGACTTGTCACAGCCTTCAACACTGCACAGGTACGGCCGGTCCGCTGTGTGGATTCTGTGGTGGATCTGCAGGTTTGCTAGAGTACGGAAAGCTTTCCCACAGTCAGGGTATCCACATACATGACTTATGTCTGTGTTGTGACAAGACTGGTGGGCCTGTGAACACAATACAGTTTGTTCAACTGAGTGACCAGTTGTTACCCTAGAATTACGAAGTTTCATCTGCTCAGTACCTACTTTTGAAAAACTTGACGTTAAAAAATTTGAGTCTCTCAAAATGTGAAGCTTTTTCGAAAGAAATTCTTTGAATATTTTGATAATGACTACGAATAATCTTACGATTCTGACAGATTGGTAACTGACCTCAGGGCCTTAGTAACTCAAAATGCCAAAAATGTCACATAGAACTTTGTAATTCTAAGGTACTAAAATGTGTCTTTAAAAAAAAAACAAAAAAACAATCACCATCTCTATCAATTTCACAGCTGTATGATATGTGTGGTTGCAACACTGTTAGTTAACCGAGACTCTGACCTGAAGGAGGAAAAAAACCAATAAACCTACAAACTGGAGGTGAAGCTGTTTCCCACGTAATTAAATGACACGATTCTACTTTGTATAAGTGGAAAAAAATCTCACTTCTTGCATTTTAAAAAAAATGGTCCTAATACTATTACAGTGGGTGTCACATTCAACGAGAAGTCGGCTCCAACAAGGCAATCCTTAATCCCTAATTTTTTTCCTCTATATATCTTTGTGAATGAACGTCAGCTCCATGGAGGCTGCAAACAGACCTAAGTCGCTTTCAGCGAGGTCGCGGTATCTAGATAAAAGCAATTAACGGCCCCAAAAGCGAAGAATTTTCCTCCTTTCTCTCCATCTCCCGCCAAGCACAAGGCTCATCCTCCATTCTAAACACATTGTATTGCTAGATCTAGTGTGCCTCGTAATATGGGCCCCAAAGCCACGAGGATAGGTGAGGGTTGGCTGGCCTACAGTAAGGATGGGAGGGGGTTGGTGGGAATGCGATGCGGGCTGTGTGAAACTGCAAGACTCTGGATGGGTAGGTCTAGATCGAGACCTTCATTTTTTCAATTTTCTTTTCTTCCCCTGATCAGAAAATCCAAGCTCCCGCCTTTACTTTATGTAGATATCTAGATCGAGGCCTAGATGTGAGAGGATATGTTTCCACACGAGAAGTGTTCCGCAAAAAAATAATTTTTTAATGCAGAAATGACAGTGAGAGCATAGCTCAAACACGAGCACACTGATGCTGTTTGAGAATTTCGTCATCAAGGGGAACAACTGTTTTAATTACTGGTATTGGTACATCGTGTAATACAATAACTTGTCTCCTTTCTTTTGTTTAGCCTTAGTCACATTCAACGAGAGGTCCGATCTAATAAGGACAACAAGCTGGTCCTGGAAACCTCGTTGAATGCGACACCCACTGTAACAAAATTTTATTCTAAAAAGTATACATTGCACTGCTATTCATTTTCTTAACCCAACTTATATGAATAATTTGTAGCCATTTTCTGATAAAAATGTTTTCAGGGTTCAGGCATTCTTTCAGTTTTAAGTAACATTAGAAACATTATTTTCATTCAAAACCTCTAGGAAACTATGAGAAGAGACCAGAAATATAAATTAGTACCTGACATTTTTCCTTGGCAGAAAATCTGACACTGCAACCATCGTATTCACACTTGAAGGGGTAGATACCTGAGGATAAAAGTCTATTCATTAACACAATGAGACAGCAGTTTAAAATATTCCAAGACTTAAATTGAAGCAATATTTTTCCATATTATTTCAGAAAGGACAAACAATAGACAGGTATTTACCCCATAGAAACATGTAATGAGATAAGCAACAAATAAAAAGTAGGTTAGAAATAGTAGACTACATAGTTTACCAGTAAATATGCTTTGCTTTTAATTTTCCATTTTTCTAATTTTCCATTGTATTAATGGAAATTCATTCTTTCAATTATTTCGTTAAAAATTCAACAAACAATATATGCATTAGAGACCAATACAATCTCTCAAATCAAATTCTGAAAGAGGACTTACTTTCATCAACGGGTTCACCTGCCAGTACAGACATTTTCTGAGAAAACTCATCCTTTGGGAGAGGCTGTCCATCTGAAATTCATTAAACATGCACTTAACCATATCGAGAAACGAAAGTACAGCCATTCAACACATCACTGTCCCAACAACAAAGAGCAAATCCAATTCTTTTTTCTTATCCCATGAAGCAAAGTCAGATGGAGTGACCCATTTGTTTTACACCAGTGAGGTATTTTTATTCTGTGATTTACAGTGAGAGCAGCAAATCTTCCTAACTGTTTCTCTTAGTGACCTTCCCAAGCTGGGTTTTTTTTTTTCAGAACTGCCTCATTAGATTTCTTTTCATTCCATGAAATTCTCAAAAGAAATCTAAGAAACCACATTTTCCATTAGTCTTTAAATGAAGATAAAAATCTGAATGCTACAATCAATGCTAGAGGAAAAACATGGGATAATATGCTTTAAATAGGAGGCTCACATCATAAGTATATATACCAATATATGTGATGTAGTGATTAGGCGCTTCACCCTCACAGGCAGAAGACATCACTTTGATTTGTGAGTGAATAGAATTTCTATTGAGTTTCTCCCTATTTCTATGAAATTTTAATGGAAGTATTTCATCTATGTCATTCCACATGTGCCTAGTTCATTTTTTTTTAGTTTGAAGAAAATGAACAAGAAAAATAGATCGCTCAAATCAGAGAAATGCCTTAAGTAATCCTGATTTACAATTAGAAATTAAGAACGAAAAAACGAAACACAACAAAACTTTGTTGTAAGTCGCCCCATGATATCTTTATTCTAATAACGGCTTCATCTAGAAACCCCCAAAAATAGGTTTGGGGGCTTGTGGAATAACATAGGTGATTTGGAACTCACTGTGATGGAAATACTTGATGTGCAGGGAAAGGTGTCTCCATAGCGGGTACTTCTCATTACAGTCTCTCTCCGAACACTGCAGCATCAGCATGGGGCTCAAGTTGTCTCTCGTCTCCATGTACTTTGCCACCTTCCATGCCAGGGAAAATATTACAAGAAAATTAGCCTCAATTTGTGTTCTCTTTTGGGGAATAGAGAGAGTTGGGTAGGGACTCATGTTGTTTTTTCTGAACTCATGCCTCTGGATTTAGTAAATTTTGAAGCAAGATGCGAGGTAATTAATAAGGACTTCATATCACAATAGCATTCAGAAAGAGATTCTCAAACTGCAAAAAAATGTTAATGATGTTAAAAAACAACAGCTTGGGATCCATTACACAACATAAAATGAGCAGTTTGAACCATTTGCATTTGAAGTAAACGAAATTAAAGAAATGTCAGAAATGCAAATAGTTCATTTCTTAACTTAATCAACTTGATAGCAAATACAAAAATGCCAAGGATATAAGAAGTAATGGCAGTGCATACCATTATATAAAACATGATTTTTAGGATAAAAAGTAAAACTGAATTCCTAAAAGAGTAAGAGTAGACTATAGAAAAAACAATTCCTCAGCTACATGATGCAAATCAAGTCCTATTTAAAATTTCTGTGCCATGATTGGAGATGAAGGTATTATGTACGAAACAAATCCATACAAAAAACACTGAAAGTCTAGCTTAGACCTATCAATAATAGAGGCAAGGTATTTTAGTTTTTAAATAACTGTATATTCCTGTCTTTCTCTTTTGCCCAAGCAGGGTTCTTCAACTCTGTAAAAAGACAAACATGGTATAGAGCAAATGTATTATGCACAGTAGATCAAACATGTTAAAAGGCTAATTCAGAATAGAGAAATGTATTGTGTACAACAGGTGAAAAATCTGTTTACCTTCTGGGAAAGTTCCTGAAGCTTCTTTTTGGATTGCTTGTTCAGGTGAGTAGGAATGTTGATATTTTGAAAATGTTTACTGTCTTTCTTTTCTTGCTTGCTCTCTTTACTTCTCAGTCGTGTTTTTCGACCATTCATCTCGCAAACATAAGGCTGTACAAAACTGTCGCTGGTTCCTTCAGCAACAATAGGAAAGGACGATGTATCCTTCTCTGCCTCTTCATCAAAATCAGCTTCAGAGGATTGCACAAGTGGAATTTTATCGAAAAGTGTATCTTTCATTTCAGTCAGACTGTCTACATCATCTCCATTGGAAGAAAAAGTTATATCTTTTATCTTCCTCGTCAAATTTGCTGAACACGAAAGAACAGACCTATGATGGTTTTGATGAGAAACAACTTTGCAGGATTGGACAGTCCTAACATTCTTTCTTTTTCCCAAAGAGAAGTGATCCGTAGTGTCTTCAGGAGCATCTCTTTTGAAATTAGACATCACCGCCTGCCTCGTCAGTCTTCTTGTTGTTCTCACTGAGCCCTTATCTTGTGCTTCTCCATGACAAAGCGATCTGTTATCACAAACCTCCCTTTCCGTCCCTGTAGACAGACCTGCCCCAGCTTCAAGAAGAGAAGAGTTTCTCTTTGTACACTTTCTGTGTGTTAACTTTTTTCCACAAGGAATCTTGACAGCTTTTTTCATTTTCTTGTCCAGACTTACATCTGAGAACAGTCAGAGCGAAGGAAGGTTACAAATAAAGTATCAATGCATTCACAACTCCATAAAGAGTACTACACGGGGATGTAAATGGGCATGCTTTAAAAAAATCTGAAAACCTTATGCGACCATCACATTATGAGTGTGATGTGAAAATAAACTGTGTATATGTTTTTGTGCCACTTGAATGTGCGACAAAAACTGCAAGAGTTATTATATTAAGTGCAAGACTCAGGCACAAATGCGCATACTTCAGATAGATTATAAAGAAAAAACTTTATTTTAACTTTACGTTTTGTTGATTTCCACCCCTTCTCCTCTCTCTCACCTTCTATAGCTGGGTTTTCGGGGTTTTTTTATTCACAACATAAAGGTCATAAAAATCTGACATTAGGGAAAATCTGAAACACAAATAAAAATCTTGACACTGTTGCAGCTTACACTGTATCAATACGATAGAATCATGACTTGATAATCCTGCTGTTTCATAACATAGCATGAATTGCCTTCAGTTTTTTAAATGGATGAAAACAATTGATGATTACAGAAATATTAAAACAAAAAGTACACTTGCAATGATTCCAACAAGTTAGGCATCCCATCAAAAACTAAAACTTCCTTGCCAAACACAAGCTATATGGCAGAATATTCTTAAAAAGTATGTACTTACAGCTTAACTGCTCACACAAAATAACTTCTTTCCCAATTCATTGAAAACATTTTTACTGACACTGCCTCTTTCCATTTCAATGAAATGACAGTTTTTCTTACCTCTAGGAAGTGAAATGGCTATTCCTGTAGAAACATGCTGACCGACTGACTCACAATCATTGTCCCAGTCTCCAGTTGCGCTGACTGAACTTGCTTCTTCCATATCTGTTTTCACTTTCTTTTTTAAAGATATCAGCTGGTCATGAATTTCTGTTTCTGAATTAGTTAGTGGTTTAAGTGAATTCATTTGAGAACATGCATCTTTTTCACCACTTCTCACAGAATCTTTTTTCTTCTTTTTGTACAAATTAGTGTTGATTGGTTTTCCAATAATTTTTTGGAGTTCCATCACATTCTGAGGGATTTTTTTGATAGTTGAAAAACATGGTAAGCAAAGTCTTGGCTCAGAAAACAACTTCTCATCATATAAAGAATTGAAATCTTCTGAGGATAGTAGTAATTGAAGCTTTTTCTTGACTTCATGCTTATAGCTCTTAGAGCCACGTAAAAGCTGCTTTTTTGAGCCAAGTGCAGTCCAACATATCACACAGTTAGTTTTGCAAAATTCTTTTTCTATTTTTTTCTCATTCATGGTCTTCTTTCTCATTGTCACAATTGTCTACACTTCACCATAAGTGACAGAAATCCAAAGTCTTTGAAACCCTGAAATGATATAAAAAAAACAACAACATTCCAATGTTATGGAAAGACAGTACCTGCTGGAGACAAGCTTATCATCTTCATGTTTTCACTGGAATATTGCCTTATTTCATGAACATGCCAGAAGAAATCTTTATTTCTAAATCTGAGAAAAAAGAAATATTGAAATTACAATCAAAGATAACTTAAATAATGAATTTAAATCATTACCAGCTTTTTGCAGTACCAATGCTCCAATGCTAAAACTGCTAAATGTAAGCATTTGATAATAGGCAACAGGATAAAGTGTGGGGTTTATTCTTGATAAAGAGGCTGCCAAACTTACAACTGTAAGGAAAGGTGCTTATCACAAATTTAGCTCAATTTACTGAAAGAATGTACCTAGATGACATTCGTGAAAGAAAAAGCATCTTGTTATACAGTGGCGTCTAAAAGAAACTTGAAAATGTAATCACCCAATAATTGTGTTAATGCCTTGCACTACCCACTCATGCAGCATACCAATTTAAAGCTAAATAAATTCAGCATAGATAATTCATCTATGTCAGGAGACACTTGATAAAGTATCACTCAAAATTGACTTGAAAAAATCAGGCTTGGTAAAGTTGTGCAAAATCAAAGAAATGCAAAATTGTCTTTGCGAGTGTTTTGAGGTGCATCAATATTGATAGAATGGACATACAAGGCATATCCAATGTATGGAGAATTTTGTCTCTCCAATAAACAATATTTCATTACGATATTTTATCACGATAGTTCTTTTTTTAAAAACGGAAAACAGAGCAATCACAAATACCACGCAAAACAAGGACTTAACAATAATAAATGTGTTCATTGGTATTTTGCTTAGAAGCTATTGGTTTTGTTTAGTGCACGAACCTTGTGGGCATTGACTCTATTAAATTTTGGACATAATTATCTGTCATTTCATCCCAAATATCATAGTGAGTTGCAAACAAAGGGTCTGAATTGGGAGCAAAGTCATTTTCGTTCAATTGCTGTCATGGTACTTCACATACCTGTAGGATTCATACCGGGGCTATTTATTGGTGATCACTCCAAGGTCGATTTAATTTGGTTTTCCAAGAATTGTCCAGTGGCATTGGTATGCATGGGGATGTCTACTTGAATGACACTATGATGAAAATAAAGGTAAGACATGACATTCCAGCACTTGCACGATGTAGTCCACTAAACCAAGCAATCCAGGGATTCTCAAATAGGCGGTTTTGTTCATTTCTTCCCAGACCACCTAAAACCATGGCAGTTTCGTGGCCTCTGTTCCTCAATGACAAATGATTATGTTCAACATTTAACTAGCACAGTCCATGAGCAAAAAAGGTTTCGTGCGCTACACGAAACCAAAACCTTCTAAATAAAAACAAAACATCAATGAGCACATGTTATGTTAGGTCCAGGTTTTACGTGGTATTTGCGACTGCTCTGTTCTCCTATCTGTTTGAAAATGCAGAGACAACAATATATTCTCTTTTCATGTGATATTTAATACAATAGAACCTGTGTAAGACGGAAACGCAAGGGAGCTTGAAAAAAATTCCGTCTTAGACATTTTCCGTCTTAGACAGGGGAATTTAGGGGTGGGGGTTCAAAGGCTCAGCCGGTGGGATCAAGGATCGCTTGTCCGATCGGCAAGCAGTGGTCAAAACTTCACACCTCTCAGTTGCTATCCTGTCTGATAGTGACATGCATCAGTCTTACTTATCCAATTACCACCAGTGCTTGCCTTTCATAGGACCACTGTTTGACCTATTAAAAACAGAAACGTTTGAACACCTCCTTTGCTGCCACCCTTAGTCCTACCCACCAATGCCACCCCTCACTGTCATCATTGTAACAACGATTCGAGGAACTCTTTTCTCAGCAGGCCGTACGCATTGGTCAATCTAATTTCACACCTCTGGCTTCTGGCTACCCAGGAAAGTTTCCGTAGTGGCTGGCTACTCGAGCACTCTCACGGGCAGTCGTGAGATATCACACCCACACTACACTGACCATCTGTAGCGCTCAGTGCTCATATGATGGGGTAACATAGAGTAACTTCTACTCTACCCCAATTGCACCCCTACTCCCCTTCCTCGCCCAGCGGCATGGCCATGGCGTTAAGTTTAGAGCCGGCGGAATCAAACTTGCGAGTTTTGTTTCAAATCAGGGCTGAGCGGGCAAAGCATTTTCCGTCTTAGACAGGTGAAACCCTCGGAAGGGAGCGGATTTTTCTTTCCGTTTAGACATGAGTCTAATGCATTTATATGATAGTATAGCTATAACTTACTGTGTAGAAGAGCCATGGGCCACATATATATAACATTATCATTGTCAGTTATCATTATTAAGTCTGTAACTGTAATTTAGTTTCTTGTTACACCAGGCAAAATAACTGAAAAATGAATAGATATATATATATATATATATATATATATATATATATATATATATATATATATATATATATAGAGAGAGAGAGAGAGAGAGAGAGAGAGAGAGAGAGAGAGAGAGAGAGAGAGAGAGAGAGAGAGAGGTCCTATATTCATGTGGTTATATGATCAGAGTTCGGCAACTCATGCTATTTCCTCCCATAAATATCACTAGATTTTCAGCATTTTCACTTTTATGGGGTTACTTTCCATGCTGTTAATATACTTGCTTGTGTTTATCTAAACATCTTTCGTTGTTTTGTTTTTTTAGTAATCAAGCAAAGGAGTAATTAAAATTTCAATGCTAACTTGTTATTATATTGTTCATCAAAAACTTAATAACTATGAGTAGAGATATAATGAAAACCAAGCAGGAATGTTTCCACTTCTCAATCCTTTTATCAGTCACATTAGAAACTTATAAATCATTGATTCAATCGCAAGTTAATTGGCCATGGATGTCTAGTACTGATTATGCCGACCATAATAAACTGAGTTCCAGAACTTGTATATATATCTAACATTGCTATTTCACTGCCTATATCATAGACAAAGACAAAGGAACTTGGGACCATATTGTGAGGGCTGACAGCCAATGTACAAACGTGTGAGTGTGTGTGAGTGTGATGGTGGAAGGAAAAGCTATCATGAGTCTAATTACTTTTTTCACCATTTATAATAGATAGCATTTGTATAGCGCAAATTCCCGCTCAACTGCAAGCTCCATGCACTTCACAATCTATACTAGTATTACCCCAGCAGACCTGAGAGCATTCTGAAACAAACTCAACTTTCTGGGAAGCATACAGTGCAAGCAGCCATTTATAGGTGCTAAAACACTAACATACTGACAAGATCTTTCGCTGTCTATGGCCAGGTACCCATTTCCACCTGGGTGTAGTGAGGAAAATTCGTGTAAGTGCCTTTCCCAAGGACACAACGTCGGGCCTGCGTCTCGAACCCCCCGACCCCGCAACCTTACGATTACGAGTCCAGTAGCCTAACCACTAGGCCACCGACGCCACCGTTTCTTGAACTCCTCACCCCCAATTAAGTTGACTTTGACTCTAATCATTGATAATTGATTCTATCCTTAAAGATCAACTATCATTTATAACAATAAAGGGGAGATGTAATTTTGGGTAAATGTCTCGTATCTAGGTCTACTGGAACGACAGAAATATCACCATCAGACCCAAGATCAGACTGAAGCGTTTCCTGGTCAAGTCAGTATTTTTGTGAGTGTGAAACCTGGACCTTGAATGCAGACCTTGAAAGAAGGATCAAAGCTGTGGAGATGAGATGCTCCCGAAAAATCCTTGGTATCTCACACAAAGATCACATCACAAATGATGAAGTCAAACAAAGAATCAAAAATGAAATTGGACCATATGCTGATCTCACTCTGGTCAGGAAACGCAACTGCAATGGTATGGACACATCATCCATTCATCCGGCCTTGCCAAGACAATCCTGCAAGGCTGTGTCAAGGGAAAAAGGAGCGGAGGCAGACCGAAGAAGAGTTGGGAGGACAACATCAAGGAATGGACAGGCCTGGAACTCAAAGATACGCTCAGGAAAGCTGAAGACCAGAAGGAATGGAGGAAGCTGGTGGCAAAATCTTCAATCTAAATGCCTCGGAGGACAGGTCTATGGGATAGGTCTGTCCCTGTAGGATTATGCGATTGTGCGGCCGCGTTTTTTTCGCATAATTCTGCAACATTTGCATAATGTTGGATTCCCCGCGTTTTTTCAAGTTTTTTCCCTTTTTTTCACAAAACAATTAATTAACGCCTCGCCCTGTGACTAAAGGGAAGTAATCACCGTAATAAGTCTCATTTAAGTGACAAGTTGGTTATTTCCCTTGTTAAAAGATGTTGATAATGGGTTGGGATTTTGTTCCTTGAGTGGCTTGAGCAAGTTCAATTTTTCAATCCATCAAAAGCTTTTGTTCTCATGTCTGCCGATGTTTCATGTTTGACAGGTGTCTCTGGTTTTAGTAATGTGCCAGCATCAGAGGTCCAGATGTCCTTTTTTTTTTTTACATTTTTCTTTCCTCTATAGAGATCTATATAAAGTCCCGCATTGGAAAGGCACAGGCTGCATTTATTTCTTTGAGCAGGATTTGGAGGACCAGGGATATCTCATTACGAACAAAGCTTAGAATTTTAAACTCAAATGTGAAGTCAGTCTTGTTGTATGGATGTGAGACGTGCATAAAGAGGATCCAGGTTTTCTTGAACAAGTGTCTGAGGAGGCTGCTGAGGATCGAATGGACAGACAGGATCACCAACGAGGAGGTATTAAGAAGAACCAGACAGAGCCCGGTCAGAGATGAGGTGGAAAGAAGACGTTGGTGATGGATTGGACACACTCTCAGGAAGTCAAGCAGCTGCATAACAAGAAAAGTGTTATATTGGAACCCACAGGGTAAAAGATCAAGGAGAAGACCTCGTGGAACCTGGAGAAGAGTCACAGAACTGGATGTACAGAAAAGTGGGAAGACGTGGAGTGAAATCGAGCGACTAGCCCAGGACAGGGAAAGGTGGAGAGTGTTTGTTCGTAGCCTATATCCTGACCCAGGGTGAGAAAGGCAAAGATGATGATGATAGAGATCTAGATCTACTGCTGAAAGTTACAGAGATTATAAAATATGTTTTGGTTGCTTTTTTTTTTCTGACAGATGTGTATTGTTTTCTTTCGAAATACACAACAAATCACTGATACTGATATGTTCTGTTTTCAATTTTTCTGCACATAAAACATGAAAATCATGAAAATTCTTGCTGAAAAAGTGCAAAATATGTTACGAATGGTGTTACGGTAACTTGCATAATAATTTGTGCATAATTTTGCTTTTTTGTGCATAATTTGGCCATCTAAATTTGCATATAATTCTACGGGGACAGATAGGTGAAGGTCTACTTGTTGAGTCAGACGATGAAGGAGAGAAAAATGATGAAGACAAAGCTAAAACTGATCAGTGGGGCATCATCAGAAAATAAGGATCAGCCAAGAGAAACATTGAATTAAAACTTAAATCTTTATGTTTTGGTCCATTTTGGAGTTAATTTATTGATATTACTATGTTTGGTTGCTTTTTTATTGACAATTTTTTATGTTTGACTTTGTATAAAAACAAATTTATATGATCGCTTTTCTCAAAGGGAAAGGAATAATTTTTTAAACAACATCTTAGGTGGGATCGGGTCAAAGGACCCACAGATCAATCACTGCAAATTCAATGGCTTTAGAGCAAAAAGAAAATTAACCCAGCCTATGGATACATTGAACATTTTCAGTTGGTAGGAAATTTAGAATTTTGCCTGGGTGGCGGCCGAAGCCTACTCTTATCGATATTAGACCACCAAGGGATCTTTTACGAGTGCAACTTGCACGGGACCTCCAAGATTTTTCGCCCTAGTCCAAGATGTTACGAGGCAGGCTGGGCGGCGTCTTTGGAAATTGCCTTCCCGTTCCATTGGCAGACATTTTGAAACTGATAATTTGCCATGTAAACGTGAAGAAGATTGTGTGTGTGCTTTTTGTATATTATTATTTTTGCACGGGGGGCAAGCCCCCTGAACCCCCCCACCCCCACTAACAGGGGGATAAGCCCCCCTCAAACCTCCCACTGTTATGGCTAGTGCGCATTAATATACACATATAAACACGGCGGGTCCACCAAAGTTCAATCCGGCCAAACTAATACAAAAAAGGCAGAAAAATATTACAGGCTAATGTGGAAGGGTTCACTTAGCCTACATGGCCACTTTTGTCCTTAGCAATCACTTCTGTTTCTTTTATGTAAACAAACGGGAAGGCCATTTCCAAAGAGCCACAGCTGGGCTATGACTAGCCTATGTTGTTGCAGTTGTCTCCAAAAACAATAATTTCAATTCAATGAGATATTTCGATTTTGTGTTAGGCAACCTCTATTCTCACCGCGCAGGCGAGCGAGGCTTTTAGCTATTCTCACCCGATGTGCATTCACAGTGATAGCCAAGGCCAACCAGTGTAGCGTTCACCCTTAACAAACGTTCCAGCGCCTTTGTGTTGAAAGCGTGCAATTTTGTCTGCGGGCAGTGAGAGAGAGACAAAGAGAAAAAGAGAGAGAGAGAGAGAGGGGGGGAGGGAGAGAGCAGAGAGAGAGAGAGAGAGAGAGAGAGAGAGAGAGGGGAGTAGCGCGAGAACTTCCGGGCAAAACAAAATGGTGACCCACGTAGTTTGGCTCGATTAAAAAAGTTAAATAGCTGTAGCATCTCTGTAGACGACTTAATTAATTTACTTAAATTTTGTGTTTTAACATCATTTTTTATCTTTGTTTTTGTCAATTTGATCGTCCACACCGATAGACAGTATTCAGAAAGAGACAGAGAGATCTCGAGAGAGGAGGAGTAGATCTTGCGAGAACTTCCAGGCAAAACAAAATGGCAACCCGTGTAGTTTGGCTCGATTCGAAAAGTGAAATAGCCATAGCATCTTTGTAGACGATCAAATTAGCTTACTTTTGGGCTACGTCATTTTTTCTTTGCTTTTGTCAATTTGATCATCCACACCGGTAGACAGTGTGTATATTCTGAAATGAGGAAAAACATGTCTTGTTTCACACCAGGTGGGAATAGCCAACGCTGGAAAGTCTCACCCCGGGTGAGAGGTCGATTGTATTTTTATTCTTACTGTGGGTGAGGATAGCCACTTCCTTTGTGTTAACTTTCAAGTGTCGTTCAGTGACAGCTAAATCTGGATCGAAGTGGCTAGTGGCTAGCCTGAGAGAGAGTCTAGTGATTATTCGGACTCGAGTCCGAATATGAAAAAATGTTATTCGGACTCTAATTCTTGTCCTGCATCACTTCCGACTTCCTGTGACTAGTGACTCCGGCTTCCTGTCCTGCCTCACTCGTGACTCGCCTCAGGCTGGGTAGAGACCGGGATTACTTCGGGCAAAAAGGCGTTTTGTGCAGGAGCCGAGTTTTTATTTTATGATGAATTTGAGGCCAGCCTGAAAAGTTCGCTTCTAATAAATGTTTATTTGTCAAGAGATCATCAGAAGCAATTAAAGATGGCTCGTTAGCGTGTGTCAAGGTCGGATGGGCAGCCTGCACACGTGTGGCTGTGTGCGTGTCAGGGAGGGGGTGGGGGGCACTATCGGTCCGGGCGTTGAACGTCCCATACGCGTCAGTCTTTTTCCCCCTGGCAACTGATCATTATTACAATAATAAGCTAATCTTGACGTAGATCTACGTAATGAATTGTGCACTGGTCTATGGAATCAAAAGTTACCGTATGCTTTTTCTTGGTAAACAATCGAGATGACACAGGCTTGTGTATTTGAACGAATCGGTCTTTTTTTTACACAGCTCATAATATTGCAGGTGCCAGGTGGTCTGCTAATCTTCAATTTTACCTTTTTCTACAACAAAGAAAGTGGGAAACATGGGGGGGCGTATCAATGAGGCGGCGGGCATCGGATCGGCAGAAAAGGTGTGGGGGAAGCTAAAAATGGCGAAAAATGGAAGCACTGAACGTTAGACCTATAGAACGAAGACACTTCCTTTTTTCCGGACCCGAGCCCGAATATCATTTTTTCATATTGGGACTCGAGTCCGAATAAGAATTTTTTTTATTCGGACTCGAGTCCGAATATGAAAAAATGTTATTCGGACTCGAGTCCGAATAACGACGGCCTTAATTTTAACGAAGTGTATACAGACCCGGTAACCGGGAACAAAGTTACGAAGTATACAGACCCGGTAGGTGAACTCTTTTGTGATTTCGGAAAGTTTCAGCGCCCAGACCCTGTAGTGTGTTTGTGTGTGTGTGTGTGTGTGTGTGTGTGTGTGTGTGTGTGTGTGTGTGTGTGTGTGGTGTGTGTGTGTGTGTGTGTGTGTGTGTGTGTGTGCGTGTGTGTGTGTGTGTGAGTTAGAGAGAGAGAGAGAGAGAGAGAGAGAGAGAGAGAGAGAGAGAGAGCTGGGGGAAGTGTTAGCAAAATGTATATCAGTTGGCAGGAGGGAACGAGAGAAAGATAGTGAGAAATAGGTGGGGAGAGAGAAAGAGAGAGACAAACAAGCAAAAAGAGAATGCGAGCGGTACACAGAGACAGAGGACAGAGGAGAGAGAGAGAGAGAGAGAGAGAGAGAGAGAGAGAGAGAGAGAGAGAGAGAGAGAGAAAGAGACTGCTCGGTTGAAATTATGACATATAGGCCTAATATTGTTCTTTTCTTCAAATTGTGATTCCTCCAACTCCAAAACAGAGGAAAAACGATCGTTCATCGAAAAGACATCCGCAATCTTCATTTAGATTTAGATCTAGATTCTAGATCTAGATCTAGGCTAGCCTCGAAACTAGATCAATGATTTATATCTGTCTGTCTAGATCTAGACCTAGGCCATAGATCTAGAAGAACCTAGGTCTACCCTGAGCCAAGAGGGCGCTGAAACTTTCTGAAATCACAAAAGTGTAACTTGCCTACCGGGTCTGTCTACTTTGAGACTTTGCTCCCGGTTACCGGGTCTGTATACACTCCCTAATTTTAATACAAACTCTTGCTAGCTTACTAGATCTACAGATCTAGATCTAGATCTAGATATATAGACTGTAGATCTAGATTTTAGATCTAGATCTCTATATAGATCTAGATCTAATCTAGATTCTAGTCTAGATCTAGATTTCTAGTCTAGATTGTAGTTGTTAGGCTACACTTACTTGATTAAATTTAGTTACACAAACAACACTCGTCTTTCACTGTGTAGTAGAATATAAGCAGCATGCCTGTGCGTCAAACCAAGAAAAAAGCAATTATATGTACGTATGCAACTTGGAATATTACATTATTTATAAAAACGATCTTCCAGCCACTGCTGAGCGTTTCCGTTGGCTGTCTTTTGTCACAGTCGACACTGTTGTTTTCACTGTTGTTTGATGCGTTGAGCAGATTTCTACCCTGCGTTAAACATTGGTAATATGGTTTACTTTAGTCCCCAGCAGTCTACAAATTTGAATTGCGTGGGTTCCGGCTACTTAGATATTAGATCCGTTGTAATTATAATTAATTATCAGATAATAATTATAACAACATTTTTTTATATTTTGTGTAGCTAGAATTATTGCACTGATATGGTCAGATATATGCATTGTGCTGACACCAATTTATCCTCTCTTTCTTTATTTTAATTTAGGCCCCTATGTAGCCTAGAAATGTAAAGGGCGTATAATAATATAGCGAAAAAACCATCTAGGGCAGACGTGGCGGCTCGTGGTTTATAGAACTGACCGGTCATCATTCACATAGACTCTTTCTTGCTCCCCCCCCCCCCCACCCGCTTCCTTCACAAAACACACACACGCGCGTACTCGCGCGCACGCGCACGCACACACATACACACAAACACACACACTCAAACACATTCTCTCTCTCTCTCTCTCTCTCTCTCTCTCTCTCTCTCTCTCTCTCTCTCTCTCTCTCTCTCTCTCTCTCTCTCTCTCTCTCTCTCTCTCTCTCTCTCTCTCTCTCTCTCTCTCCTCATTTTATACCCCTACTTTCGCCATCCCCGCCCCGCCCTCCACACACACACACACACACACACACACACACACACACACACACACACACACACACACACACACACACACACACACTCCACTGTAAACATTTTAATATAATGTGAAAGAGCTGAATTACGGCCGTGTCAAGAAACAATATTATGATTAATGTATGATGGAAGTTACTGAGTTAATAGAAACTGACTTGAACGGCATAGAAAAAGAAACACTACTAGAGTCTATGCAAGAAAGCAAACTGAAAGTGAGAAGCGCAATAAACTGCTGGTCTTCGCTTTCGTTACTTTAACCAAAGACTTTTACTTTCTACACACCCTCACACAATATCGACGTGCACTCGACCTGTAAATATGTAATAAGAACAGTACCGAATGGTGGCAAAAAGTCAATTGATACTGTACCAATGACGCTGTCCCATGCAGATTATGTCTACTGTCAGATACTATACAAAGCTGGACAAAGTTAGCACACAACAGTTTTCCATCTTTATGTAATCAAACGTTCTTCATCACACTTCTCAGCTCTCAGAACACTGTTGTAACAAAGTGGGGAAGTGTGGCAAATGCTAATTATAGAACTTGGTGTCTGTCTGGGGTGACAATGGATAAAGGGAGGGAAGGGAGGGGGTATGCCTATTGTTTTCGGCCCAGACTCTGACAGCTGAGAGCCTATCGCTCCTCGTTATAATTCTTCTTATATATATCTTCACTAGACGATTTCTCTTTTCGCCGGCTAGACTCATATGGGGCCAGATACGGTATTAGTGGGGAGAAAGCGATGAATAATCACCAAACAGGAACTATAGGTTGCTAAAAATTCAATAAAACAAAAAAGATTAGTGCCATGCTGACAATAAATGTCCTGATGATAGTTAGAGAAAGGCTGAATGATAAGTACATGTATTGCTGATAAATAATACATGTGTCTGTTCTGCTCAAGACTCATTACAGTCTCATAATTGATTTTGTAAGCAACACAGAGGCCAATTTGGCAATCAAGGGATGCTATATTCGCTCTTAGGGCAGTCGATGGATTTGCCCAGTGGACTGTAGCCGCCATGATAGTTTGTCCTCATACGAAGTTCCGTGACGTAACGGCTTGACGGGAGACGATTTAAATTAACGAGCGGGTGCGATAAGCAAAGGTGAAGGAATGAGTCTCTGTCGCGACGAAACAGTAGAGAATCCCACTGTCTATTTGAACGCCTCCAAATCGGCCTAGTGCATTTTAAATGATAATACATGTTTATTCGGATTTACTTAAAACTGAATGAAAATCATCATCAGCAATAAATCTCTTGTCAATAGTCCAGCTGACAAAAATTTGACAGGCACCGTAACAAACCGCCCCTGATCTAGGGCCAAATGAAAAATCGTTACATAACGCTTAACATTTGATTTTTGCTAAAGCAATTAATGTTTGAGATGGAATTTGAATATTATCTATTTCTTAAGCACACGTGTTTAATTCCTGTGCTGATAATTAGCACGTGATCTCGCCAGAGACCGTATTTTTAAAGATAATAATTATTATTGGCCTAGGCTAAGGGCCTAGATTTTTAGTTCAAATCGGTAAAATTGGTGAAAACTGAATTTTTGAATTTGCGATTATTCGAGGAGACAGAGATGACTACTAAGGGGGGAGGGGGGGGGGGCTACACCCCAAAGCCCCGATTCAGTTCAAAATTATGGAATTTGAGTTGTAGGCATTTGTAGCTTCGTCAGCCTCTCCTACAACTATTTCATTTCGTAAGAACCCCAAAAACCGAATTTTTTCTCATACCGGGCATGTTTCTCACCACCATTTCCTTATAAAGTCAATATTTTATTTTTCTTTACCGGCCGTTTTCTCAAACCGCGACTTTTGTCTACACGTTTTTGAATAACTCCACCATTTTTCTTCCAATCTTCATGAAATTTTCACAGAATTAAGAGAAGATGTAATAGTAAAAATTTGTCTGTTGAATTTTTTATATTTTGGAACAGTTTTTTGTTGGTGGTGTCTTGAGTGTGAATTTTCACGTATTTTTTTTTTTTGCTAACTTGAATGGTAGCCTACCTCAGAAAAAAAATTCATTAAAATTTTAAAAATCCGTTTAGGAAAAAAACAACAGACTAATTTTTAGATTTAATGTTTGTTAACACGCATCATCATTGCCTTTCTCACCCTGCACCAGGGTATAGGCCACGGACAAACACCCTCCACTTTTCTCTATCCTGGGCTAGCTTCTTGATGCTATTCCATGTCTTCCCACTTTTCTGTACATCGATTTCTGTGATTCTCCTCCAGTTTCCACGAGGTCTTCCCCTTGATCTCTTGCCCTGTGGGTTCCAATCCAAAACTTTCTTTGTTATGCAGCTGCCTGACTTCCTGAGAGTATGTCCAATCCTTCGCCACCGCCTTCTTCCTACCTCATCTCTGACTGGGATCTGTCTTGTTTTCCTTAACACTTCCACATTGATGACCCTGTCTGTCCATCTGATCCTCAGTAACACTCTTAGACACCTGTTCAAGAAAACCTGTCTTTATACAAGTCTGTGATGCTTTCCATGCCTCACATCCATACACCAGGACTGATCGACTTCACGTTTGAATTGAACACCCTCATCTTTGTTCGAAGTGAGATCTCTCTGGTTAACACGCATGCAAAAAACCAATCAATTTCCAATAGCAATAAGTGCGGTATTCATTACGTAAGACATGTCATGTCAACAAAATCCAATATGGCCGCCGTATCCATGGAAACAAAACTTTTTTTTTCAAGTTTGATTGCGGTTTTAAAGACTCCTTACTATACTTGTTATATGTGTCAAATTTGGTAAAATGTGGTCCAGTAATAAGCAAGATAGCCTTCAGGTGTAGCCCCCCCGCCCCCCCCCCCCTTAAATTTCAGTAATAATACCAATTAATAATGAAATGCAAAGCCTGTTAATGGTAATTACAAAAAAATTTAACATAGGTTAAAAATAATAATAATATTATAATAATATAAAAATAGCCAAGACTGACGGTACGAAGATGGATGATGATAATAATTAATAATAATTATTATTATGACTATTATTATCATTAGCCTATTATTATCATTGTAATAATAATAATAATAATAAAGTGACTATACCTCCGAACGCTCGGGGAAAAAAACTTGATCTCTATTTCTCCGAACGGTATTGTTATTATAATCATTATAATCATTATTATTATTATTATTATTATTATTATTATTATTATTATTATTATTATTATTATTATTATTATTATTATTATTACGAAGTGACTATACCTCCGAACGCTCGGGGAAAAAAACTTGATCTCTATTTCTCCGAACGGTTTCCGTTCTCGAGATTTCTTGGTTATTTGCGAGATTAAGGCGTCATCTTTCACTTTCATTCTGTCATTCTGCGAGGACTGGGGAAGAAGCATTTTTTGCATCGAATTCAATTTCTAGAGCTAGAGATTTTTAAATGTCTGAATATTCAGATACTTCTTGTGGTTGGGACCGTTCCCGGACTATACTTCATTTGAAAATGCCTTCAAAAGGTATTGCAAGAAATTAGGACTGCTCGACCTTGGCAGTAACCTAGCTATTTTACATTTAGTTAGTCACCCCTAAAGCAAAAACAAAAATCCTTCGTGTAAAAAAAAAAAATCCCTCCACGCCCCCCCACCCCTCCCTCCGTCCCCACACCTCGTTCACACTTTACACACACACACACACACACACACACACACACACACACACACACACACACACTCACACACACATACACACACACACATATACACACACACGCACGCGTGCGGGCCACCCCATTCGCAAATTATCAACGAATCTTGAGAACGGAAACCGTTCGGAAAAATAGAGTTCAAGTTTATTTTCCCGAGCGTTCGGAGAAATAGAGCCGGCCTTATTACTATTATAAATAAATATGCCTAATGATGATGATGATGATGATGATGATGATGATGATGATGATGGTGATGATGATGACAATGATCTTCTTCTTCTTCTTCTTCTTCTTCTTCTTCTTCTTCTTCTTCTTCTTCTTCAGTTAAAGGTACTTTAACCTAATATCGTAGAAATACAAAGGAAACTAGCCTTATAATTTTAATATCAAATTTATATTTTAATTAATTAATGTAGGGCCCATAAATAACTGGGCCAACAACTTAAATTATAGGCATACTCTCCGGGAATCCCCTAAAAGAAGTGACGTCAGTAACTGCCCCTCAACTTCTCTGTACCTGCTAAAAATAGCTTTGTCTTCCAGGAACTTAAACTTTCAGAGTTGGCCTATGTCGGATAGCGAGCGAGACTTCATCAGTGGTAAGCCCCGTTTCTTCGGGGTGATGACAGGCAAAGTGTAACAGAGAAGTGAAAAGTGAAACGAATAAGTAGAAGAATATTTATTTAACGGTGTTTGTTTAAATTGTTATTAGGTTTAGACTCTAGGACGCAATCAAGAACTGTGTGGATAGATCTATCCCGTTGCCATCACTTTCGGTTTCCTCCTCCGAGGAAAGACCTCGAGTCGAGTCGAGTCGAGACGAGCGAGCGCCATTTGTATTGTCAGCCTCCACGGTAACCTAGCTGTCGAATCAACATTCAGCTAATGCTTAAGCCTTTTACTATCGTTGACTGTTTATTCATGCCATTGATGAAATCCCGATTCGTATTGTGACTCAATGACATGACAAGTGTCCATAATGGCGGAGAAAACAACAAGGAATGCGGGTTACTTGAAGGTGAGTGTGTCTTACTAGATCTATAGCTTGTAACAAAATTGTTGCCGAATGTGTTGGTTCATCTAAAAAAATTGAGGAGGTTTACAATTTGTCCAACTTTCAGCACATGATTACTGTAAAACTTGTATTGAATTAGTAATGAAATATAGTATCTAGGAATGACAGCGTAACAAGAGCACCCTTGTCAACTTGCCTTGCCTTGTACAAATATTATACATAAATGTATTATTTAATTATTCAAAATATTATGCATTATTCATCATACAACTTTGATTGCCATGGCCATGGCTAAACCAACTTTGGACCCCTCATTTAAAAAAATCCTCGCCCCGCACCTGATATAATACATTTTTAATTAACGTTTAAGGATAGCATTATAAATATGTTTTTGTCTTGTCTGACAAAATTTAAACATTATTACAGCTTTGGCGACTCTGTGTATTGTCAAAACTGTCGTGAAAATCGTGAGCAGTGTTTTCCCAACTGCTGTTTTCTATAGCTAATCAGGTAAACAATCACTTTTGTTACTCATGAACACATGTGTCTGAAAATGAACAAGAGAACGGTACTGTGATCTGTCAGTAATTATCAAGAGTCATAGGCGTGTACGCTTTTTTATCCATTTGGGCTGTGTGGTTTTAATATTTAGAATTGTTAACTTGCTAAATATCATATTGTGATGAAGATGAAGTCTAAGTTCAAACTGAAATTCTTTACTCACAAGAACATTGCTCGGAAAGTATATAGCTATTTCGCGGTCGTCTGTATCGTTCAATTTCTGATCCATTTAGCAGAACTAAACATTTGCTTGATTTAAGTGACAGGACTTTGAACAGATGGATATAGGATGAAAATGCAACCGAAGACGTCGAGGTAACAAAGAGGCCGACCTGTTAAATTTGATACCTTTGACAGAGATCTCGTGGGACGCGCTATTGGAAAGATGTTAGGTGATAACCAGTACGTCACACTTAGAACACTTATGTCTTATTTAAACAGCAATCACGATTTGGATTCAACAAACAGACTGTATGGCGCATTGTGAAGAGTCTAGGTTTCAGTTTCAAGAAGACAAAAACGTCCAAAGACGTAATTTGTGAGTCGAAGAACATAGTTGCACTGAGGAGGAAGTACCTACGAAAATTAAAACAGCTTATTGAAGACAACGTTGACATTTATTTTCTTAATGAGTCCTACATCAATGCCCACCACATGTGCACCAAAAAATGGCAGTCTGACAGCCAACAGAGAGTCATTCCGACTTTTATAATTGCACATATCGGAAGCCATGAGAGAGGACTAGTGAATATTTGTGAACTGGTTTTTGAGTCAAAGTCGAAAGATGACAATGGCGACTATCACAAAGACATGGATAGTAAGGAGTTTGAAAACTGGATTGGTAACACTGTGGTGCCTGCATTAGATAAAAAATCATGCCTGGTTATGGACAATGCATCATATCATAAGCGAAAACCAAAAAGGATCTCCTAGACTTTGTGAACGCCAGCGAACAGAGCCAGATAAAAGTTTTTCGAGTAGACAAGTACCTGGAAGAACATGGTCACATACCTCTTAGGCTCCCTCCTTTTCACCCTCAGCTTAACCCTAACGAATTAATCTGGGCTGAGATTAAGAAAAAGGGTTGCTTTGGCAAATACAACATTTAAACTCCATGACGTTAAGCGACGCACAAAGCAGGCCTTCTCAAGTATAACCAGAGAATTTTACTAAGCAACAAAGGAAAGATACTGGATAAAAGATGGATTAAATTTCCCTAAGCAGCCTAGTGTAGTCATCAACCTGATTGACGATACATCTGATTCTGAATAATTGGTGAATGTAAAAATATGTTTAAATGTGTCCCGTAGATCTGTCACTTTCTCTCTATAGGTTTGTCTGTCTGTCTGTGTAACTATCAATGTCGCTTCAGCTGATGGTTATGAAATTTGTTCAGAACTGGCGACGCCTATGAACATCCGAGAAACTAGCAATTTCTCCAACTTTCAGCACGTGATTACTGTAAAACTTGTATTGAATTAGTAATGATACATCGCAATTAATTAACCAGCCACAATTTCGGATAATTGATTGCATTTCCCAGTGGATGAGATGGAAACTAAGCTCTTCTGAAAATATGAAGGTGATCGGTTGGGTAGTTTTTGAGATATCCTGCGTCAAACATCGGCAATATTTTTGTTACAAGCTATAGTCTTAGCATTGATTCGACCCTTTCTTACTTTAGTTCAGCTTAGTGGAGTGGCCGACGAGGTGGAGTAAAATAGCCCTGATCTACTGACAATGTTCGACTGATCTTCTTGACTTGCGTCTGATCGGTAAAGATCTAGATCTAAATCTAGTTTTAGAAGAACGGATCACAGCGCCGAAAACTGGCCGAAATCGTGCCTCTTAGTTTCCCAGGCCAGCGACATCTGGAAGTCATTAAATCACCGTCGGAACCGCTCCGTGCCGGGTTACGCGGGGGGGTCACTGGCCGCTCCGTTGCGCATCAGCTACAGGCGGGCAGGTCATGGCACAATCGACACTTTTGACACTAATTATCGGCGGTATCCTCACCCTTACCACGAATTATTCCATACAATAAGAAAAGAGCGAGATTCCCCCTCTCAGTCTGCGAAAACCCGATCTCAATGCGACTATATTTGCCGATGTTACAGTGTGTGCAAAATGTTGTGAATTTCATCGAATTTAATATGTGTGTGCTGCACTTAATTCACTTTTAATTTCCAAAGTGCTCTCTCAATCTCAACAAATTTTGGTACATGCACTTATGACATATTTGTGCTTTACGTGTGTAATTTTCATCATTGTTTGAAGAATAGTTCTTGCAATATTAAGTCGCTTACATCTGATTCTCATCCAATGCCTTGTTAATTGACCCGTGCAATTATGTATTCTGGATTCTATGCTGTTTTAAGTTCAACACTTCTCCGTTAATTTCTTAGATTGTTGTTTCTATGAAAGGCAGATATATTTGTGCTTAATGAGTATAAATTTCATCTTTGTTGATTAAGCCGTGTTACGATATGAGGTAGAATCCATTTGCCTGTGATTCATTTCTAACAGGTTTACTGAAATCTCCCAAAGGAACACACACGGGAGACGTTCCTTCTCCCTGAATGAACTTTGCCGCGTTTGCGGGTGTAAGAACGTGACTAAAGTACAACAGAGGCTGATAAGAAAGGCTAGGACATATGCGTCACTGCCAAGGGATATTTTATCATCCAATCATTGTTGACAAAGCGCACGCTATAGGTTTGATTTTCAACTCTCTCAACCAAGCATACAATGCACCTATTCCGAAAATCTCTATTCCTGGAATTCAGACAGCAATAGACACGTACATGAAGTTGTACAGAAAACATTTTAGAACAACACTGCATTCCATCCTTAACACAACATGACTTTGGCTTGGGCCCACTGGGAGAAAAGGAACCGAAAGCTGTCACAAGTCTATTTTCAAAATTGAAAAGTGGGTTCAAGGCATCGTAAACAATACGGAAAAACTACGATACGTTATGGACGCACATTAATTTGCTCCAGAGAGCACCTTCACTGCAGGCACCGAGAAAACAACCACGGCGCCATAGACAAGCGTATAGATCTACTGTACAAAATGTGTAAGGAGATCTGTGTCATTAATTTAACGAAGGATACTGTAAGGTGAATTTCATCACAAGCCTGACGAATTTGGCTCTCGAACGTAAATGCAAAAATGTGGATTACTAATCTTCCAACAACAATGTCCTTTGGTAAGTAGATATCCATATTAATTGTCTTTATTCTGAGCAAGTTTTAGTGAATTTATTCCCGCACTTTGGTAGTTATATAACTTTTAATTCGGTGCATATTACCTTAATTCCCTCATGTAAGACGGCTGTATTTGATCACATGCAGTTAAAAAACTATTCTAGATATCTTCGTTGCGTTTTCACAAACTTTACATTGAAAGAAGAAACTCAAAGATGGAACACTATGTGTATATTGATAATCATGCTTTAATTCGTGAGCGTTGAAACAAAACTGTGTAAAATTGCTGTGGTATGTAACTCCGCGCGTGGAGTGAGCGCAGGTAGACTGACTGGTAGCTGACCCGGGTCACGCTGACCTAGCAGCGTACGGCCTGGCGAAACTAAACGACCGCTGATTCGGCGCTGTGGGAGAAGAATGAGTTTAATTGTGTTCAAACTTAAACTCTTACAGCAAAGAGCTGATTGAATTCTGGGACCTAGGCTATCTCTTATCTAGATATCTAGAAATTCTTCCTAGCTCAGTTCCATTTCCAAGCCTCAGGGAACACTCCCATGTTGGCTTGGACTGTATTTAATACACAGTGGCTACGTTCACGTCGCCGTAGTTGGTAGGCTACATTCACGGCGCCCTGAATGCAGTTTTGATTTCTGGTGCTGTTGAGGCTACGTTCACGGCTCTCAAGCTTCGTTTAGACAAAGTGTCCACTGCTGGTTTTCTAAGTTGGCAAACTTTATAAGCTCGGCGTTAATTTTTTATTAACAGGGACTGAAGCTATAGAATATCTGCTTCAATGATTATGATGCGGCTGTCCACACGAGTACCTGGCGATGATTCTCGCTGCTTCATATACTCTGCCGGTTGGAGGGTTTGGGAAGAGGCATGTGTCACAAAGCAGGCGCTCGTCAATTTTGGCATATATGGGGCTATTGGTATCATCTTAAAGCCTGTTCATTTGCCTTGCTTTTGGTGAAAAAAATGTCCATCTAGTAGAATAGAAGTCGAAATATATATTTGCCTGGTTTCAGAGGTGAAATTAGCGAGAAAATGGCCACCAAAGTTTGGTCATTTCCATACAGTGCAGCCTCTCTATAACGACCTTTGATATAACGACATCCTCTTTAGTGATATGGTGCCCTGGTCCTGATTTTTCCCTTATATATCAATAGTAACTTTTGATTTACTCTCTATAACGACAACTCTGTATGACATTATTTACTGGTCCCAACGATGTTGTTATAGACAGGCTGCATGCATGTAGCTTGAGAGTCCTTGGAAACTGAAAATTGGCATTTTTTGTACCTTTAATCAATGTTTTTCGGTAAAATCCACACAGAAATGTGTTTTTAGATGGATATGAAAGGTGTTGAGCCAAAAAAGAAAATTATAGAAAAATTGCCCAGCAGTCAGAAAAATGCTTATTTCTTTGATTTCACTATTTTGACGAGCGTCTGATTTCACCACGATGCCTCATAAAAATTATAATGTAGGCAGGGGCAGAATCTAGTCGATAGCAGACCAACAAGTAAAATAATCAATTGGCTGACTTATGCATTCCCTTGAGGCACCCCAGGTGCTTGATTATCTTATTACCATCAAGTGTGGGAGATTTTGCCATTTTTCAGCTTTCCTATACATGCTGTCAGTTCAGCCATGGTGAAGAGAGAATCATAGCTGGTGTTTTGGTCAATATGAATTATATGGAGTTTTTTCTTTTCATTAAGCTGGTAGCGCCAGCATTTGTCCGCCTTGTTGAGTTTGAGGCGACTGACTAAAAGGTATTTTCACAACAAAAGGCTTTTCTCCTAGCTTCTATCCTATTTTAGGGTTTTATTGTTTAAGTTATGAGCGCCCTGCTGGAAAGGGAGGTTTGCTTGCCTGAGATATGTCGTTTATGACCTGGAAGACTTTTTGAGGGTCAATCACGAGGGACATCTCTGAAGTAAACAGAAAAGCGGCGCCAGCAGTTGCGCTTCATTTCGTTAATGCAGGATGGTGTTCTGTTTGACGCCTCTGGTAGTTTTCAATGAATCAATGTCTTTTCGTGGTCTGGTTGCCATGGCTTTTTTTTCCTTCCTTAAAATGACATCAGAGCTACCCTTCTCCCTCTGAGAACTAACATTGACAGCACACTCTATGGAACATTACAGCAACTGCAGCAAACCTGCACTTATCACTACATGGCATTGGACAGAAGGGCAAGAGCCCAACTGTTGCTGGATCGATAACAACAACAACAACAACATGGCTTTTTTCCTTAATTGCACTTTCTTTTTCTTCTATCAGTTTGAAGTCATTTGAAAGAGAACACTCTCTGCTAGATTAATAGGACCAATTAATTTTTTATACTCATTGCTTACTTTTCTTCTGTGTATATAGGATTATATAGAAAGGTAAAAATTGCTTATTGGCAACAATTTAAGTAGGCTGCTGCTGGTTTGGTATATTTGACATCGATGCTACGTCAGCTATACATTACATTCTGCTTGTCTGACTGTGTGGCTCAAACTGGTCGTCAAGCTGATGTAATCATGCCGTCTGGGTATTAATAATTTGCTCTAATTATAATGCCTTTATTGAAGCAACTTTTAATGGTTTTTAAGTGGTACGTCTGGAAGCACCATGTTTTCTCTTCGTTCAGCTTTTAACAGCCTCAGAGGATTTCATCTTTTATCATTGTAAGAAAAAAAAGTTGCAAGAAAGTTTTCCCCTGATATGATTAAAGATGAACCTTGCAGGTTCATCAGATTTGTTTCAGTTAAATTTTTAATTGTCACACGAAATGGTGAATTTCTCCAAAATGTTCTGTTTTTTTATTTCTTTCAGCTCAGTATTTAAAAGGAGTGATTTTGTTAATTAAAACGTCTTTATTTCTCTTTCTTCATGTTACTCACAGGCAATAAGCACTTTCTTCCACATCTGATTTTAGTCAATCTGTTGTCAAGCAAATACAATAAACAAATTATATACATTTTTTAAGGAACAGTATTTTAATTAGGGTGTTTATTGCTTCTTTTGCAGCCTGGAGAGCCACCCGCTGGAACAAGAGAGAAAGGAGCTGCAGATATCCTTGAGAAGCAAAAACTGCACACTTTATCTACCATGTGTGAATTATATAACCCAGACTTCATTTCTTTCCTTGAGAAATTCAAATTCAAACAATCCTGTCCTTTCCAAATTGATCCGAATTGTAAGGGAAATAAAATTGGTTTCTTGAAGCTTGGACTTGACAGGCAGCTTGATATGCATGATGCTTTGTGTGATGCTGAAAGGAAGGTTAGTAAATTTTAGATGAAAATTGATCTGGTTCTTTAGAAATAACTTTGAAAATTTAGCTCAAATTCTTCTTATAATTGTTCCTTTGATTCATTTATGTTTTAGTTTTTTGTTGATACTCTCGAACTCGGGTAACTCGAATTCGTCTGGGATTTGAAGTAGTGTTGGAGATTTCTGTAGTTCTTCATGTCCATGAAAGCCCCAGATGAGAATATTAAACCAATTAACATGGTTAGCTCCTTTGATTGTGTTGACAGTGTGAAAGCAAGAAAATGAAGGAAAGTGGAAAACAGAAAATCTCACGTGTGCTCAGTCAACTCCTACGTCATTCCTTTCCTCTCATTTCATTGGCTTACAGAAAGTTACGCCTCTTGCCATTCGCACCGCGTGCGTCCCACAGCATGCAGGAATGCCACTTTTCCGCTTTTTCACTGTATTTCCGGATCCTGATCCACTATTCCGTTATTGAGATCGAGATAGAATCTATAGTTGGAATAAAAACCCCACACACAACAACAACTTGCGTCAAGTGTTCAAATAACGAGACCGTGGCGCATGGATTTTCAGCTATTTTCAAAAAGTTGAGTGGCATCCCTGAGCATGATTGCACGCATGGCGAGCCAGTCATGCTGTGCGGTTAGCACCACTACCCGACCCACCCTTTACCGACCCCCGTTTCTCCAGCCTCTCGTGGTGAGACAAGGACAACGTTTTGGGAGTAACAATAACAAAGAAACACCTACCTGCGGCCAGAAAGGCTGTAAAGCCAGGTCTTTAGTTGAGAATGCGAAGTGGATATGTTCGAGATTCGAGTGTTGCGTGTTCCAGAACTCCTTGAAGTCAATACAAAGAAAACATAGGGACTGAAAAGGGACCAAGCATTATGTTCGAGAATTCATGATTTTCGTGTTCGAGATTCGTGGACTTTACTGAATTGTATTTTTACTTACCAACTCCATATGTGAGGCAGCTGGGGGAAATCTGGTGCTCGTCAAAATAATGAAGTCAAGAAACTGGCATTTTTCCCGCAGATTTGGTCATTTTTATCGAATTTTTGTTTCCGAAGCTGAAAGTCCGGGTTCGAGCCTCGGTTCGGACATGGATTTTTTTTGCCCCCTCCTGCCCGCCCAGCTGTAATGGGTACCTGACTTCGAGTTGGGGAAGTAAAGGCGGCATGGAAAGGAACTGACCTCCCTACCACATGTGCCAAAGTCCCAGGAAGTTGTCTCACTAACATGCCAATCCCCAATGTCCAGATCGGATGCGGGAACAACTTTTTACCTTTCATGCCCATTAAAGAACACACTTCTGTGTGGATTTTACTGAAAAATGTTGATCAAAAGCATAAAAGTTGTAAATTTTCAGTTTCCACTTATACTGCGAATGTTATGCCTTAAAAAATACATAAGGTTGCACATTCTTGTCAAAAATAGAGTGAACGGCTATGAGTGTGAAATTCAAAGTGAGTAAAAAATTAAGAAGTTTTAAAAAAAAGTTTGCTAGGGCTTGCGGCGGAATCCAGTTTTCAGAAAATATATAAGATATTTGGGATTAATTCAGTCAAAATGTTTTGAGGGAATTTGCACCACCATTAATGAATCAATCAAATTTATTCACTGATACCACAGAATTTTATATCTGACACTTGGAATAAGGCGAAAGGGAAAATAGAAAACAATGGAGGGCTAAATTTAATTGATTGTTTTTACAATATGAAATATCGTTAATGTTATACTGCCAACATTGGGATGAGCATGAAGTTGGCTGTATAGCAAGGCTGATGGTATAATGGGTTTCTTCCCCTGCCCTCTACCACATAACCCTGACTGGCCAGCATCAAGGTAAATGATTCTGCTCTGTGATCTGTGTTTGAGAAGGGTCTTATTGTTGGTGAATTAAGTGAATTTTGAATCAAGAGTCTTTTCTCTCCCTATCTCTCTCTGTCTCTCGTCTCTCTTTCTCTCTCTCTGTCTCTGTCTCTCTCTCTCTCTCTCTCTCTCTGTCTCTGTCTCCGTCTCTCTCTCTCTCTCTCTCTCTCTCTGTCTCTCTCTCTCTGTCTCTCTCTCTCTCTCTCTCTCTCTCTTTCTCTCTTTTCTCTCTCTCTCTCTCTCGCTGTCTCTGCTTTTGTCTCTATCTTTCATTCATCCTGTGTGAGTATGTGTGTGTGTGTGTGCAAACTGGAATTGAAAATTTCAAGTAGAGCTACTGCTGGATCAGAGGCTACTTGTTAAACACATGATGTTTAAGACAAAGATTGGGAGGGAGCAAAGTGATGACAAGCACTTACTGGCAGAGTTGTGCGTGAGAGAGAAGGAGATTATCACTGTGCAGCTGCTGACTGGGTACCATGTGCCCTGTATCGTAGGCACCTCTGGCAGCCAGTTCACTGGTGGTGTTGAGGGGCAAGTGTACTTAAGCTTCAGTAAGGATGGTTAAAAGGGGCAAATATTAAATGTCTATGTAGATGTTCCGTTTCGTGCATTGGCAAAGCATAGTGGTAAGCAGGGCTGTATAATTGGGAGAGGGGGGGGGGGGGGGGCTGGTTATAACAAGGTTAGAATATAGGCTGTGCATCATTAATACATGTATGTTATACAAAATACTGTACAGTTGCTTCATTCTTACTGTGTTATGAGATGGAAGACTTTTCTACTTCTATAACTGCCAAGGCAAAAACCATCCTTATTTCTGTGCCACTTATGATTATATACTGAATCTATCAATCTATGTAATAAAAAGTACATGTTTTATGAAATGAAGAATTATATACATACTTGTCCCCAACCTTAGATGGTTTTTCAAAGTGAGTAGCAATAAAATCGTGAAGAAAATGACAGCAATTGACACAAATCAAAGTACTTCAATCAGCAGTGTAGTCATCACAATAGCTGGTTTGTGGAGATAATTGGAAATGTAAAAGTTATATACTGTGGGATAACTTTTCATGTCTAATAACCCTCAAATGAGTTCTGCTGTTTAAAATGAACGAAACAACTAACACCTAGTTTGTACCAAGTTTGGAATGAAACTTTCACTACTTTCAGCTGTTGCCAAATTTAGTTTGTAATGCCCGTGTTTTTGCCCTCAAATGTGGACCTAGAATATCATTAACCCATTTCAAGAGAGTTCCTCAGGTCTTGACTTTTTCTCAGTTGGATCTTATGCTATAGGTTTGATACTATCATTTTATCCCTTACACAGGTACTTAGCCTCCGTAAATTCCTGCCAAGATTAACAACGGACAAAATTGGTACAGATAGGCTCAAGGTGGAAGAGGACGATGATTCAACTTACATTAAGGTGGTCACGGACAAGGTAATGCATTGCATAATAGATTGAATAATACTGCATTTGATATTGCAGTTCTCATTTGTGATGGCAGTGTTTCCGATTTGATTATTGCTTTTGAAGATGTTTATGTTTTCATTGTCCGCCTCTTAAATAATCTTGCAGTATCACAAAGGATGTGAAATATACCATTCGGCACATTTTTTTAATTCCCACTTGTATTGTTGCAAACAGAACTGCTTTCATAATGGAAATGAATAAATTTTCAATTTTTTTAAATGTAATTTTTTTTTTTACCTATTTCAAAGAATATTTAGTTCTTCATCCAGCGGTGTAAAATTTTTGTCATATCCTAATCCGTTGTCGCGTAATTGAGAGTTCCTCATCTTCGCTTACACTGGCGAGCTTTGGGTCAGAGCGCATTGTAAGCGAGAATGACAAATGAAGGATTGGTCAAGGATCACTGCTTGTTTGGCGTTTGTCTCCTACATGGTTGGTCACTGCATTGGGCAAATTATCATATTATGGCATGGGCGACGAATGGCTGTTGGTCACTGTCGCATTAATACAAAAGTACTGGGCCTTTTTCACAAGCAACCCCCCCCCCCCTCCTCCTCGAGTACAATCACCAGGGTTATAAAATGATATCACTTAATGTGTTCTTCTGTCTGTGTTCACATATTCTGGCCGTACATATTGACAGAACAAAGAAGCTCATTTGTAAGAGCAGGTGGGAGGGAAGGAAAATGAGTGGGGGCGGGGGGGAAGTATTGAGCGAGAAATTTAAAGTGTATTAGCACTGCTAGCGTTCATCAGATGTTCACTGATCAACTTCATATTAGTTTGCTGTCCAGTCGTTGACATCTCAAAGATGGCTATAGTGCCGCAGTTTGTTTTGCGCATTGTCCCTGGTTGTTATCATTTTAGAATTACCTGGCAAATGATAATCTTTGTCCAACTTAAAGAGTGGACATATTGCAGCTACACTTAATATTGCTTTACATGCTTTATGACTTGATGTTACGATAGATTATGACAATGTCCAGCAGATTAAAACTGTCTTTTTCTCTTCTAGGCTGGTATGAAACAACTCGCTGTTTCCCCATCAACTGAAGCCTTTATGAAATACAAGGCGTTGCGTTACCTCTCCCGAGAGTGTTTGCGATACAGTCTTGTCAGATTGCTATGTTTCTTATATGAAAGTTTGAATTTGACTGCAATGATCTGATCTTATTATTGACTTCATATCATTATACAAAAAAGAAATCTCATGGGATATGGATTATGGACGATGGGATATTATGGTACATGAGAAACAAGTGGTGAGAGATGGGATACAGAAGATGATGAGATTGGTTACAAGCGCACGATAATGGCTATAATGTACCGGGACAGCCTGTAGACTAACGTAGAGGGAAAATGATAAAAATCAACAATTCCTTAATACTAACGCCTAACTCTATACGTACAATAGCTAGTTTGAATAAGTCTTATTTTTATTTGTTGCAACATATACACAGTTATCCCCGTCGGTGTTGCCTTTTTTAACTCCCAGTGGAGCACAGGCCATCAACAGCATTACTCCAGCAAAGCCTGTCCTGAGCATCTTTTTCTATCTGTTTCCATGATGTCCCCGCTTTTTCAATTTCAGCTAGTACCGCTCGCCTCCATGTTATCTTTGGTCTTGCCTTCTTACGTTTTCCTTGTGGGTTCCACGTTAAAGCCTGCCTGATGATGCTTGTTGAGGGTCTCCTCAGGGTGTGTCCAATCCATTTCCATTTCTTCACCTGTATGTCTTCCTTTCTTGATCCCCACTATCCTTCTTAGACGTCCATTTACGGAGCTCTGCAGTTTCCTTGCTGCTGATGCTGTGAGCCTCCATGTCTCTGAACCATACAGTAGAACAGTCTTCACGTTTGTTTTGAAGATCCTCTGCTTGGTGTTCAATCCCAATTCCTAAGACATCCATATATTCCTGAGAATGATGAATGCTGCTCTTGCCTTTTGGATTCTGACCTTGATGTCTTCGTCTGTTCCCCCTGCCTTGTTGATGACACTTCCCAGGTAGGTGAAGGATTCAACATCCACCAATGGTGCCCCTTGCAGTGTGATAGGAACGTCGGCTGCATTCATTCGTAGAACTTTCGTTTTATCCGTTTGAATATGGAGTCCAACACTACGGGAGAAGGTCCTGAGGCGATCTGTTTTTTGCTGCATCTGGGCTTGACTGTGAGAAAGAAGTGCCAAGTTGTCGGCAAAGTCCAAGTCTTCCAACTGACTGGAAAGGGTCCACTGTATGCCACCGCGATGTCCAGATGTTGTCTGTCTCACTATCAAATCCACTACTAATAAAAAGAGAAACGGCGATAACAGGCATCCCTGTCTCAGTCCTGTATTCACTTCAAACGAGTCTGTCCGCTGCCGTCCAAGTAAGACACTGCAACTCATTCCCTCATACATCTTCTTGATCAATCTCACGAACTTGTCAGGTATTCCGTAGTGGCACATGAGCTTCCATATTGAGTCCCCGTCTAGGCTGTCAAAAGCTTTCTCGTAGTCAGCAAAGTTAATGTACAGGGAAGAGTTCCACTCTGTGGACTGCTCCGCTATTATCCTCAAAGTTGCAATCTGATCTGTACATGATCTCTTTTTACGAAATCCTGCCTGCTCCTCCCTTAGTTTTGCATCCATGGCTTCCTTCAGTCTTTCCAGTATGGTACGACTTAAAATCTTCCCAGGAATAGACAGGAGCATGATTCCTCTGTAGTTTTTGCACTCATGCAGGTCTCCTTTCTTGGGTAGTTTCACGAGCAATCCCTCTCTCCAATCCTGTGGAAATGACCATCAACCACGCCCATAACAATTCACGAGTGTAGTGAGATTGCCGAATGGTACCGTTCATAGTTTTTGCTTACATTGCAAGGCTCACCGGCGGCTGTGCAGTGTAAGTGAAAACAACGAATGTATAATAACTGTGCTTCTTTTCAACTTAAACAATTTAAACTTTTGAAACAGCTTTATGAACACCTTAACCAGATCTCTGGTGAATTATAGCTTTAAAAAAGGTAAAATAGAAGAGTTATTATAAAGTGAAAACGTTTTTAGCCTCTCCTGAAAAATTTGCCTTGTTACATGCACAGGACCATTAATTGCTGTTTTCCCTTATGGCAGAGAAGAGCCCTTGGCTTTTTACTGGTCAGTGCAGTAGTTTGCTGTAGAATATGGTCTTATTTATTCCTGTTTTAAAAAATCTCTTTTTCTTTGTATAGCCTTTTTTTTTCTCAGGAGGGATGACTGGTCCTTTGTCCAAAATAAATTTTTGTTTTGTTTGTTTTTTTTTAAAAACAGAAATGGTTCTCAGAGAGTATGATGCAGTGTACATTTGTGAGGCAATGTGGTGAAATCGGGCTCTCATCAGACTAATGAAATTATAGAAAATATCAAATGTCTGGCCTTTGGTCATTCCCCCCCCCCCCATTTTTTCCCCGTTTATTTTTTTTGGTTCACCACCTATTACGTCCATTTAACAACACTTTTCTGTGTGGATTTTACAGAAAAATGTTAATCAAAGGCACAAAAAATTGTAAATTTTTATTTTCCAAGAAAACTCAAGCTTTGGACCGGAAGTAACCAAACTTTGGCGGCCATTTCCTTTTTAATTTTACCTCTGACAACAGACGACCCTCTCCTCTTTCAATTGCAAACACCTCGACTTATTTTCAAGACAGATGCTTTTTAAAAAAAATAATTTATTTTCATTTTGTTGAGTTTTTTTGCCAAATGCAAGACAAATGAATAAGCTTTAAGATGATACCAATAAATGTCCACAGTGTATCCAAAAATTAACGAGCACCTGATTCTACCGTGTCATGACACATTTAATTTTAATACGGCTTCTTCCTTTATTTTTATCAGTAAGTTAACCTACTGGATGTTTTCTACTAAAGATCATTATATATACTATCATTCTATACACATCATCGTCATTAGACATCAAGCTACCTCCTTCCCACCCAACTTCAGAATAAGGATTAGGTAGTCTTAGCCAAGTTAAAGGAAAAATATTTTTCTTTGAAGGTGATTAAAATCGAAGAAAGTGAAAGGCCTTTGTTCACTGGCAAGTTGTTTCTTAGTTTTAAAAAGAAATTCATTGATAAATAGAAAGTTATGTGCTGTTGCTGTTGTAAGTAATTTACTTTTATATACTCGGGCGCAAAATTACCTTAACATATCTTAAGATGCTACTTACATGAATATAAACCACAGATCACTGTAAAAACAAATTTAGTGCTCTACAGCGTGCCCATCCCCAATTAAGTACATGTAGATATATATATCTTTTGTGGCCGCCTTTGTACAGGAGCCATTTGAAGACGACCCAAAAAACTAGTTTCAAAGTCTATGAAAAAATGGCCATAAAATAGGGGCTATGCCTGGCAGGCTTGAAAGCTTCGCACCGCACAGTTCCCCAACAGTGTGTCACTGGCACCATGGCCTTCTTCTCTCTGTTGCCATGTCTAAACCTGTAAATTCCATGACATAAATCCGTGTCTCATCACTATTTTTGTATGTATATACAAACTATGTATATAATAAAAATATGTGTCACGACGCAGTGGAAACAGGCACTCGTCAATTTTTTGGTATGTGGAGTTATGGGTATCACCTTGAAGGTTGTTCATTCGCCTTGCATGTGATGAAAAAAATGTCCTTTTATCTTGAATAGAAGTCGAGATGTTTTCAATTGAAGTAGGTGGGGTCGCCTGGTTTCATAAGTAAAATTAGCAAGAAAATGACTGCCAAAGTTTGTTTGTTTTTTGTTTGTTTAGTATAGGGTTTTACGGCGCTCGCAACTGCATAAGGTCATATGAGCGCGCGGGACACACCTAATACTTTTTCGTTGGTAGGAAATTTTGAATTTTGCCCGGGTGGCGGCCGAAGCCTACTCTTATCGATTTTAGACCACCAAGGGATCTTTAATGTGCGCAACTTGCACACGGGCCCTCCGAGATTTTTCGCCCTTGTCCGAGAAGGCTAGGTGTAGATCTTTCCTACCAGAAGATCAGGGGTGTGGCAGAAAGACAGCAGTTAGGAGGAGCCAAGGAGTAGCAGTAGAAAGACTGCAGAAAGAGTCAGGAGCCCGAGGGGACAAAGGAGGTGAGGGGGGGGGTGGGGGGCAGAAAGTAGAAATGAAAGCAGACAACAGAACATTGTTAGAGATCAGGAAAGGATGTGAAAGGAGACAATTTTAGAGAAGAACATTTTTTGGTCGCTACCCGGAATCGAACCCGGGACCTTTGAATGAAAGGCCAACACCTTAACCTCTGGGCCACGAGAGCCCCCTGCCAAAGCTTGGTGACTGCCATTGTTCAAGAGTCCTTGGAAACTGCAAATTTACATTTTTCGTTACTTTAATCAACATTTTTCTATAAAATCCAGACATTAGAATGTTTTTGATTGGACATACAAGGTGTTGAGCCACAAAACAAAAATTTGAGAAAAAAAATTTCAAACTGGGCAAAAAATGCCAATTTCTTGGATTTCATTATTTTGACCAGCGCTTGATTTCACCATGCTGCCTCCCATATTATATTGTGCCAATGTCTGCACAATAAAGATTAATCTTATCTTCTTCTAGCTTCCACTCTCTTGTCCTTGTGTCTGTTTATGACATACCAGCATCTTTAGTGTAATGGTTAGGCTCTATGCTGTCACTCGCAAGAGACTCAAGATCAATTCTCACATTGAAAAATAAAAACGTAATGTATCATGGTGAAATCAGGTGCTTGTCAAAATAATGAAATCAAAGAAACTGGCATTTTTCCGCCAGTTTGGGCATTTTTAGAGAATTTTTTGTTGTTTTGTTTAACATGTTTTATGTCCATTTAGAAACTCATTTCTGTGTGGATTCGACAGATAACGTTGGTGAAAGGCACAAAAAAATGTTAATTTTCTGTTTCAAAGGACTCTCGAGCTATGGAATTAACGAAGTTTTGGTGGCCATTTTCGCGCTGATTTTACCTCTGAAACCAGGCGACACTCCCTCCTTTAAATGCAAATATCTTGACTTCTGATAAAGATAGATGGATGTTTCTTTCACTAAAAAAGCAAGACAAGTAGGGAATAGATTTTAGAAAAAAAAAGGGAACAAGGAAGAAGTTTTAGGGGATTGGGGGAACATTATCGTAAGTCTTGTCACAACTAGAAACCACAAAACATGGAGAGTGAGGACAAAACAGCCAATGGCTTAAAAAAAAATATTGTTCCATGTTTTTAAAACAATATCTAGAAATTTGACTTTGTAAAATTCTGCTCTGAGGCTAGAGGAAATCTTTTAATGGTTCATAATTTGGTCTCCAATGGTGTTTCCAGCAAAGTAGTTCACATTTTTTGGGTCTCAGAATATGTCATTAACAACCATATTTACAATTGTGTCAAGTCGCAGTAGAATCAGGTGCTCGTTAATTTTTGGGCATGTGGAGTTAATGGTATTATCAGCTTGTTCGTTTGACTATCTTTCGATGAAAAAAAATACACAACTATGTTGAATAGAAGTTGAGATTTTGCTATTGATGGAGGTGAGGGCGCCTGGTTTCAGAGGTAAAATTAACGAGAAAATGGCCGTCAAACTTGTTGATTTCCAAAGCTACTGAAAATTTAAATTTCTTGTGTCTGTGATCAACATTTTTATAAAATCCACACAAAAAAAGTTTTTAATGGACATAAAAGGTGTTGAGCCAAAAATAAAGAATTTGAAAAAAATTGTCAAACAGGGAAAAATGCCAATATCTTCAATATCATTTTTTTGACAAGCACGTGATTTTACCACAATGCCTCACAATTGTTGATACTATAAGAAGTAATAAGAATATTCTTCACAACATTTAATCAATTCTGGAAAATAATAATTAATAAATTACTCCCCCCCCCCCCCCTCCAAATGAAGTATGTTACCTAATTTGGTGGATGTGCATTGTTAGAGTCGGCCACCAACCTGTATCAGTTGTGAAAGTTATTGACAAAATATGTGTGTGCTTTAGTTGTAAACATTACTTGGTTTGAAGAAAACATAGCTGTTTATCCATTTTTCAGGGGAGTTGTGAACTTTGTGAGTACATTCGGTACAAATGTTCAGAAGCAAAAGATGCAGAAGAAAATTTGAAGAAGGGAGAATTGAGTTATCAACAGGCACATGGGTCTACAGACAAACTAAATGGAGCCGCACTTGGCTATGATCGTGATGCAATTAGCAATGGAAGTAATACTGAAACTGACCCCCATCAGAAGCTTGGGATGTTAAAAACCGAGAGAACAAAACAAGAAATTTTGCCAGGCAGTGAAGCCAGAAGATTGCAAAGTCTGCAACATGAACACAGTGATTCCCATAGGGAAGCAAGAATTGTCTACCTTGAGAATGTGGATATTCCTCAAGAACAATCTGTCTACGTTAAGAAGTTTTTCCCTGGATTTCTGGAAAAGAATACTGTCGGTGTTGAGTACAAGATTTCCTCTGAAAGAATAGAACTTAGCAGCTTCTCAAAACATGATCTAAAGCAAGCATATTATGTTGTTGAAAAGAGAATGAAAGCAATTGAAGTAGAATGTGTCCCGTTTTATGATTCATCAAAACGGGCAAAAGAAAATTTTAACAGATTTTGTGAACGGATATCAGAGAAATACAATTGCATCATTGCTCCCGTGGTGACAGCAACATCTAACGGCCCTTCAAGTAAGCAGTTTGTACCAGTCATTCACCACTTCCAGAATCATGATGTCCACTTATACTTACTTGAGGGAAACATTGACAACATCTGTCTGCAAACAACAATCTATGTCACCTCAGAGGAAACAGGTAATTTTTTTCCCTAACTCATTCATGTAACCTCTTAACTGCTGTGTAGACATATAATGTTCACTTCTGTTATCCCACATTGGTTATACTGCAATTTTTTCTAAACTGTTTTTTTATTGAAGATTTTTTAGGTGTACAGAACAGTAAAACCTCGGTACTACATAACCAGCTTAACACTTTCCCCCCCACTCAGCCCGAGGAGCGCAAAACCTTTGTCCCCACGTACCAGGCAGCAGATGAGGTACATTAGTACTATACCTGTATCTTGGCAAAAAGCACTCCGATCATCATCAACTTTTCAGCACATTGAGAAAATTGAACTTGGCGATCGCATGTTTATCAAAAAGAGGAATCATAATCGATATTAAAAACATTATTTCAAACATCCCCCAAATTCTCATCATGGCGACCCTAAAGTAGCACTCGTGTTAGATGTACTCAACGTTTTCCAAAGATTTTCTCTCTAATTGTTTAAACAAACTGATTTCCTTGCTCAAAGGCCACACAAACCATTCAGGAAAAAAGGAATAACTTAAACAAGTGTGCATGTCGAAAAGGACATTTGTTGCTGCACTATATTACACAGTCACTGATTGGTGACCTGTTGGGAAATGAGACGGCTTCTTACCGTCACTGATTGGCGTCCCATGGGTGCAGAGTGTTATAACAAAAGCATACTCTTGGCTGTAGACTTCATTTTCTGTAGTCCTGATTCTCATTTAGTATTTTTACTCCATGGAAGCTATGTCTAAGATCAAGCATCTGTGTAAAATATAATTTTGTAAAATGGCTTTGTTTGAATCTCTCTTGATTGAAAATTTTTTCTCATCTTTACAAAGGTAAATTTTTAACTGAAACGCCTCTGCGCTGAAAGGGTTAATAGACCTGTAATTTGCAATTCAGACAAAACTATCGAGTTAGCAAAATCTATAGACTTGATCTATATTTTCCTAGCTGGTACGCTGTAATTGCCACAGCACTGCTGTTTGCTGTCTATAAAAAATTCAACGGGTTGTTGTGCTCATGAGTGTGCTAATGAAAGGCAAGACACCAGCCCTACTATAGTCTAGTGTGTGTGCAATCTTTTCTTCCTTGTCCTTCATTTGGTTCCGAATATAGTCAAATGGTGTTTTCTATGGTGAATTGGATTCACCTCTTGGATATTGTAATACAAGTCTTTGGAAAAAATCTGACAGACTGTGCTGACAGGCCAGATAAAGTTTTTAAAAATTATTTTCTGTCATGTGACAGTGCATGCTTCTTGGCAGCTAATGAGACCATATATTATAAATTCTTATTTATAAGTTTCATATAGTACAGTGGAGTCTGCTTAAACCAAACACGGTTAAACCGAAAACAGTGGTAAACCGAAATAAAATAAAATTCCCGATTGTTTTCCATCTTTGTCTTTGTGAGAAAATATTGTCCATAAGCCGAAATGCTCACATTTCTAAACAGAAAAGAATTTTGAGCGTTTTGACCACTAAGTCTTCCTTAGAAATCCTCATGAAATGCGAATCATTGAGCCTTATGCGCTTCCGGATAGCAGAACAGAATAGACATAAGAATACCTTATGCAGTTGCGAGCGTCGTAAAACTCTCACTAAAAACTAAGCCATAAGAATGCACACATATATATATGTTGATTGCAGGCCAGAGAGAAGTATCGCCAGTGTACCATTTGTCTACATTTGTCACGCACATCAGTGTGTTCACACAGTCTGTATAAGCCAAGTGACACAAAATACAGACTGTACGTCTGTCGCACATCCCATGGTTGGCCGTGGCTTAGCCTATTGTTTTTGCAAATTTAGTTCACATTGAGGCCCTGCACATGTGCATGTGACGGCATGTGATGTGTTTCATGGTGTCACTGGAATTGGTTTCTCACTTCTCTAGACTAGCAGAGAGCACTATACAGTGTACAGTACAGTGTGCTGATCCACTCTTATGTCTATTCTGTTCAGCAGATTAAACAAGCTAACAGTTTAGTAGAATTGCAAATGGCATTAAAGAGTTAATTCACAATTTGAACCTACTAGAAGCATTGATGGTCGAAAAATGAGGTTTGGGGGAAGAGGGAGGTAGTGTCATTTGTTTTGAGCATAGATGTCATGCTGTTGATGATTGACAGCTTGGCGGTTTAAATTTGAGTTAGAGAAAGTGATGTGATTAAGATCTTCTTTTAATTATTTTAGAATGTTAGTTTTAGTAACATTTTACTGTGCTCGCAACTGCATAAGGTCACATAAGCGCCAATTTTAGAATTATAGGTAAAATAGATTTTTCCAAACCAATGTTGAGTGCTTAGATGTGGCACGCGGGAGATCTGAGTGGGGCGAATTGTGATGGATTACTGGGTCTTTCTACTGGGATAATGTATCCCTCTCTCAGCGCTTTCAGCTCAGGGTGACCGTGGCAGAAAGTGTCAAAGTTTGCCTCCTTCATGATCTAAATTGTATCGATGGGGGTGGAAAAAACACCTGAATGTAAAAAAGAAAGATTTTCAGACTTTGGAGCAATTTACTGTAGTTTTGTCTAGGGTCATGCACTGTATCTGTCATGTATATTTGGCATTTACTTGACTCTACCGATTTTTTTCATGGATGTACACTCTACAGATCCCACTGTGAGGAAGTACGAGAATGAGAAGAAAGTTGAGGTGGGCCTGACACCTGATATGACAAAGAGAGAAATATACAAGTACATGAATAAAGCACTCTCTTGGGCGAAATCAAACTCTTCTGCAATCGGCCTTGTCATTGGACATGTTCCCCATGCATTGTCCGGGATCGCTGAGGCTATTGTCTTCTTGTGTGAAAGGTCAATGGAGGCCATCAACGTGTACTTGCTAGAGCCTGAAAGGAAAAATATTCTTCATGAATTTGAATCTCACTGCAAAGTGCAAAAGTGGAAAGAAGTACAGCACGAGACAAAGGAAGATTTGGAGTGGGAGTGCAAAGGTAAGAATCAGTCAGATCAGATGCATGTTGTAATTTGATGTGGTATTGTAGTGAAAACCACTAAATTGTACTCCTTTGTTTCTTTTCATGGCCCCAGTGAAGGCCATGTTGGATCCTGTTCCCTTGGTCACATAGATGAAACACACAACTAGATACAGTAAGAGTATTATGGCAGGGCAAATCAATTCTTTTTCAAAAACTTTCAGAGATCTAAACAGCTAGTAAAGCTGATGGAGAACACTTCTAAGGAGGATGTTTTTACTGGTGATTTGCACAAATTATATAGATTTCTTGTTTTGTATTTTTTTGCTTGACTTCATGTGGCTGTTATTTTTTTTAAAGAGATGCATCAGCAGCTGATAATAATTTTCCTCTTTTCCTCTTTAAAACTAGCAAAACCTCTGAAATATAATACTTATGCCCTGCTGGAAATGCCTTAGGTGTGTTTGAGTCAGAGGTCAAACTTGCAAGTAGTCATACTGCATCTATTAGTGTCTCCATAGCGCAGGAAATGACATTAAAGTACCATGGAGTGATATTTACCGAACATTGTCAGCCAGGGGTTATGTAACAAAGTCATTAAGAATCCAAGGAAGGGGCTGAAGACTGATCTTAACATTAATATCTCAGAAAGTTCTAGCCTTGCTTTTCAAACTCTGGTTCAGTTTGATCTGCCAATGAATATGGGTGGGTGGTTGGCGGGTGCTCTGGTGTGGTTTGCTCCTTCTTTCCTATCAAAGATATATCGTCCTTATCTCTCCTTCTTCTTTTTTATGTTTGTTACTCTCTTGTAACACCTCTAATCTTCTGACGCTCATATGACCTTATGCAGTTGCGAGTGCCGTAAAACCTCTACTAAAACTAACTAAATTGATATGGGTTTGGACTTCTACTGTTCTAATTACAATTGCAATTCTCAGGTATAATTAAAAATGAAGGATTGAGAACTATTCTCAGTCATATGCGCCACATTTTGACCGAGACTAAGCATCATTTCTTTGGATCAGAGAACATAACAAACTTTCTTCGGCTGAAGTTTGTCTTAATGAGATGATAGATGTAGGCCTACACCAGCCACTCAGGAGAAAGTCGAAATTGGATAGAAAGGTATCTTGGATAACTCGGGCTCTGACCATATTTGGTGAATGCCGCTAGGTTGAATAATCTGGAAAATTGACTTGCAAAAGATAAACATTATTTTGCTCTGTAAAAAATACAATACGAGTTACAAGTTAACATGATATGTAGTGAGTATAGTTTCTTCTATGATTTTTGCATCTGACTTGGGGAAAGTTAGATGCTTTCTATCACGCCTGTAGACTCCGCAGTTTTGAATATTCAGGCACTATGTAATTTACTGGTGAGAATAAATTTTATTTATATATTCACATCTCTGAAAAAGTGTGTTTGCTGGGGTCTCAGTTGATAGCCAAGAGGCAATTAGTAAGATAAAAGATTAAAATCTTTTCAAATCAATGGAGAGTTTCTGCAACTATATAAGGGTGTAATTCTTTAAACTGAAAATTAGGGGTAAACGACCCTTATCCAAGGTGATGATCAATTGTCAACAATAATAATGTTAAAGTTAGATACATAATCAGTATTTTACCTTGAAATCCACTGTCTGTTCTGCTTTCAAAGTGCTTATTATTTTGTCTCTTTAAATTTAAGCAAATTCACCTCCTCCACTGCTCCCACCCCTCTCCACTCCCTGCCCCCAAGATTTATTTAAAGAAACTTTTTTTTTTTTTTACATTGCACACATTCTTTGTTGCAGTGTGAATTATTTGTATACCTATTCCATGTCTTACCATTAATAATTTTTTTTCTTCTGTCTCTTTGTAGAAAGAGAAATTCCAAACTACGAAGACTTTGCTCTAAGTCAGAACTTCTCTGTGCACGTGGATGAGGAAAACCAGATCAAGTCACTTGTATGTATGAGAGAATGTGGGATAAATTGAATGTGAATTAGTGGGAGTCAGTTTCAGGGAAAATCATTGGTGGCTGTCTACTTGATGTTCTTCTGTGATGTTTCTGTTCTATTTGATGGTATTGATAATAATAATAATAATAATAATAAATAACATTTATATAGCGCTCAACCCTGATTAAAGTGCACAGACTCTGAGCAGTTTACAATCCCATACAATGTACAACAGTAACATAAAACATTGTGTTCTGACCACCCTACTAGCCTACAACAACCTATAATTTTAAACATTTTCCCTCTAGTTTATGTGGATTGGAGTTGTCATAGGCTGTATTTAAAATGACCCTGAGAAGGACTAAATGTTTTGAAGGTTGTGGGGGGGGGGGGGTGTTGGGAAAAACGGTTTGGTGGGCTAGCTCTCCTGATTTCTTGAAAATAGCACATCAGGGTCTGGGAATGATGATATACAAAAATTTACCCTTCAGAGGTCTGTGGTTATGTACATAAGGTTAATTGTAAAGTAGTCAAATGATGAAAATGTAAAAAAAAACCAACAGAATTAAAAACTTTTATTGATTATTCAAAATACGAATTTCTCAAATTGTCTCTTCTATTTCTGTCTCCCCCGCTCAATATCAGTCGTAAGACGCAGTGTGCTATTATCAGCTACTAGGCTCGAAAGACAAAAAAAGTAACTTTCCATGAAATTTATGTTTTTTGGATCTATTGAAAGTTTGAAATCTTCTGCATTTTGATTTATTTTGGAAGTGTGTGTGGTTTGTTGTGATCTTGGGTGACGAGTTAAAGGAATTTCGATCTTGCTAGTGAGGTTATTTTTTTAACCATTACCTCATGGCCACCTTTGCTTCAACCAAAGATTCTCCACTAGTGGAGTATTTTTGCTTCAACGTTCTTTATTTGCAACTATTTTTAGATTTTAACCTCTTTTCGAGCATGCATCGTCAGAAATGTAAGCAACTCTGATTGGTAAAACGGAGTAAAAACGGTAACTTCTAGCTCACTTCAAGCTTGTTTACGTAAACAGCTGACTGTGTCGGTGTGCCCTGCTGGCTGTTATTGTCTGTTGATCTTTCAGTTTTACACTTGGATTGACTTAAAAATTCGTTTTTATTGTGTTTTAGTGCTTTTAAAAGATTAATTATAACCTTCCTCTAGATCTCTCTAAGCGGACTCCTTACCAAGAGGACACCGAAGCGGTCTATGTGCGTGTGTGTTGGTGTGTTTGTATGTGTGTGTGTGCGTGAGTGTGTGTGTGTGTGTGCACTCTCGTGTGCTTATGGTGCTATTGCAAACGTATAATTGGGTAGCGTAATAAGGGCACGTAAGCCGACTCGCGGCTTTCCAAGGGCGTCGTTTCGGTTAAATTGGGGTAATTCAGATCTCTGTTTCTTTGCTGTTTTGCTATAAAACACGAAATGAAAAGACTTTCTTCATTACAATAGTGTAAGTTGTTTGTATATCCGATTATCTGGAGCTAGAGAATTGCCGTGGAAAAGGAAGCCCCTCGGGGTCGGAATGCAAGGTCGTCCGGTTCAAAATTGACACCCATGTATTTGAATACCTTGTGTGATTGTGAGGTAGAAAGACTGTACTTAACGACTGGCGTCAACTCACTGACTGGAGAAGACGTGAGGATCTCGAACGTGGCGACGCGCCTGCGCTGGCCGGCTTAGATCGTGTCGTCGGGCCCTCAGAGGTTACTTCGCCGGCATCTACGACGACGTCGGCCACTCTGGTCTCTAGCAGAAACTGAGACGGATCAGAAGGGGCGCACAGAATTCCCGCCTCGCCTTTATACCCATGTTTCAGCGCCCCTAGTGTCACGGGGCGGCAACTCTGTTCGGCCCGCCCAGCGCCCCCTAGTCTCATGGGCCCGTAACTCTCGATTATTCATCTCTCTAATAACAGCTTGCAGAAAGATGAATGGTTAGCAGAAAACTATACAGCGTTACGCGTGGTTTCCCATGGTTATTTGTTTTGACCTTTGGCGTTTGGATAGAAATCCTTTAAAAAAAATGTCTAAGTTTTCGAAGATCATTTTTAACATGAAATGTGTAAAATAACGGTTAAAAAGGCGCCATTAGAAAGAACAGTTCTTTTTTGTATAAGAATAGAGTCATCGGCTTGGAATTGTTTTGCATGAATCGTTCTGTGAAACTTCGAGGAGCACTCAGTGTACTACAGTATAGAGCCGACCCCTCGCCGCGGGGACGGATGCGGTGCCACCGAGACAACGCTCGGTGCTTTTATTGAAATAACGACAGATCATCTTGTTTGAAGCAATAAAATACTGATTTGTAATAATCTCACAGTCTTGAAAAAAGTTAGGCTTCATTTCTTTGTTATAATGATTGTACTCCTATAATGTAGAGATGTTTGGTGCACTTAGTACTGGTACTCTTTTATTATCTGTCAATCATGGGGTTGCAGCCAGTTAGCGACTTCAGCAATGTTATGTTAAATTGAAACCGCTGCCTTTCTCTTAAACATTGGCTGAGAGGTAAAAGTATGGTACCAAAATTCTCAGGAGACATAGGCCTTTCAAATGAAACAGATGAATTTGACATACAGCTACTTTGAAAATTAAGAATCTGGTGTCCTAGTATAATGCTAATATTTTGTTGCGTTTGACGTGAAGTCCATTCTCGTGAAAATTTTGTTTTGTCCGTTAGTTTTTTTCTCTTTGAATGAATAGTTTTCTACTTCTGTATGTTACCTTGTAGTGGCATAGCCAAGATAACCGCTAAATTTCAAGTCTCTATCTCCATTCTAAGACCCCTCTAATTGCTATGGAAACATGTTGCTCAACTGCAGAGGCCATTTTCTCCTTTTCGTTTTTCCTCACCTCGCACAAATAAAAGTTCTGTATTTTCGTCAAATGTGGTCATATTTACTTCATTCTTGTTTTAAATTGTAGGGAATTGGTGATAGTTTTTAAAAATAATGTTAACTCAGTTTTGAAATTTCCTTAATATGACTGATATTGACCGGCAGAAACACATTTTTGCTGTCTCATTATAATGTTAAATAGTAATGTCAGTTCTGAAAGTATTTCAAAATACAAGCCCATAAATATATTTGTTTTTGCTTTTACAGGTCCCCATCTTGATGTGTCTCCCGATCACTTTTAAAGATATCTCTCGACCTCACCTCCAAGCACACTGTCCACAACACAGGAAGCTGCTAGAGAAAAAAGTGCAAGCCAAAGTCAGAGAAAAGGCAGACCTGCAGAGTCTTGACTCTACTGTGGGAATTATTTCTGTAAAGGAAACTGGCTATCTGTTGTACTATGCTCCAAGGTGGGAATTTGGAGCTGGTCAGGTAAGCCACAGGCCAAACTTGTGTCTTTACTGTCTCTGTAAGTTTGCTCTTTTTATGGATCGTAAAAGTTTGTAGCAAAAAAACATCTATTTACTGTAAAGGTCTACTCCAGCCTTCCCTGTCTTAAAATGATTAAAATCATGTTTCCTGCCTGTCATTACAGTTACCTCCATGTTACCACACACAGAGTGGTAGCGGCAAATGTGGGAATATGTGAAGTAAGTTTAGAATGGAGCCATGAAGTAGACCATCACCATGTGTCGCGACGCGGTGGAATCAGGTGCTTGTCAATTTTTGGACATGTGGTGTTGTTGCTATCATCTTAAAGCTTTTTTTTTTGCTTTCGATGTAAAGATAGCCGTTCATCTTCGATACAAGTCGAGATATTGGCGATTGACAGAAGTGCGAGGCGCCTGGTTTCAGAGGTAAAATTAGCAAGTAAATGGCTGCCAAAATTTAGTTATTTCCTTAGTTTGAGAATCCGGTGAAACTTAAAGTATGCATTTTTTGTGCCTTTTATCAACTTTTTTTTAGTATTGTTCGCTCAGAAATGAGTTCTTTAATGGACATGAAAGGTGTTGAGCAAAGAAACAAAAATTTGATAAATATTCCCAAAGGTGTGGGAAAATCCCAGTTTCTTCACTTTCATCCTATTGACGAGCACCTGATTTCACCACACTGCCTCACAAATTAACTCTCTCATTGTTGTTGTTGTTATCGATCCAGATTAATTAACTCTTTCAAAATGACACACTTTAATTCCCTGATACATCAAGGTGTTGAGGAAACTTGTGAAACTAATGATGTACCAGTATATCCTTGAAGTGTTGTGTTGTGTTGTGTTGTGTTAGTTTAAATGTAAGTTTCCTTATAAAAATTTGTGGTGGATATGACACAAGCAGTTATGAACTATGGGTTGTTGGCAAGTGTTCTGGTATGGTTTGCTCCTTCTTTCCTATTAAATATCTATTGTCCTTATTGTGCCTGCTACTTTTCTTTGGGTGTTACTGTCTAGTAACACTTCTAATCTTTTACCCTTATATGATCTGGGTTGCAAGTGCTGTAAAACTCTTACTAAAACTCAAAAATACAATAAATGAACTTGTCTGGCTAACAGAAACTTTGAGTTTGATTTTGAGTAAATTCCAAAATGTTGCTGAATATTGCTTTGAGACACAGTACTCTCTAAAACCCTTTGACTTAAAATTAAACAAAGTATATAGTGAAAAACAATTGCTTTTGTCTTGAAAGTGATGAACTTTTTGATGATTGAGGGGCATTAACTCACCCAGCCCTAATGCTGATTGTATAGGTATGCGTGCGCAACGCTTCGACTCTAACGTTGACAGTATCGGTATGAAAAATTTCGCTCAGTTGTGTTCAATAAAGAAAGCTATATTCGTGAACCATGTGAGAGGGTGCGGAATTTGAACACACTTCCTTTCTTCACTTTTTGTTTACATTTTTACTCTGTTTTTATAGACCTTTTGTAACAGAGTATTGCATAAAAACTATCATATATTTGCCTTCAAAATGTTAATACGCACAAATAAAGGTTTGAATAAGATATGTACCAAATTTAGGTAGGATATGTTAAACTTTAGTATTTTTTTCAATTTGTCAAAAAATGGTAAAAATCTCTAGGGAGAGCTGAAATGTAGGCCAAGGTTATGTGAGTTATATAACTGTTTGATTTTGATAAGTAGACTGATGTAGTACTGCAATTTCTTTTTTTTTTTTTCAAAAATGAGTAGCCTGCTATGTTTAAATTGTTCCTACTCTGATTTGTTGGAGTACCAACTGTTATTGGAATCCCCAGGTTATTGCCAGAGCTGTGAACCTGTGTGTAGAAAAGGCGAAGGAGTATGACTGCTCTGTTGTCTTTGTCCCACCTGGAATTTCAAGTGAAGACACTTTCAAGTACCCACCTAGGTTCCTGGCCCAGCAAGTTTTTCACAGCCTGGATAACGTCTTACTGGAACAGGGTCTCAAATATATGGATATTCATTTGAGAGTACACCATTCCCCATACAAAGAGGTAAATTTAGGACTGCTAGTGTTGGGGGATGGGGACTTGAGAGGTTGAGGGGGGGAGTAGTAATAGCAGATAGGAGGTAGTGGTGGATACCATCATAACTTCCTCAGTGGAGCGTGGGCATGCAGTCTGACAATCACACAATGCAGCACTCACAGTGTGGTAAGCTTAGACCCACAACTGGTCATTCTCAAAGAAGATGGTACCTCCTATCAATAATACTGACTGAACACTTAACTATCATGTACTGAAGGTTTTTAATACTGGAAATATTGTATAGTACATCAGTATTATAAACTCAAAAGTATGAATTGTGAAGTGTGCTGACAAAATGAGTTATTTCTCGGATTTGAGCCCTATGGAAATAGATACGTCATGCTTGTAAGTAAAGGTTTGGCAATTAGTAAGTATGAAATAACTAAAATCATTTAGTACTTAATAGATATTGCATCAATAGAAAACCTAGTTCATTTTACCGTGGTGTCAATGTTTGGCCAATATCTGCATTTGTGGATTGTGAGAAGTAACTCATTTTGTCAGCACGCTTCACAATTGATATAAGTAATATGTGTGCAAAGCATACTGTTCCAATAGGTAAAAAAATAATTTCTTCTCAATTTGCTGTCACTAAATGAAACAAAATCCTTTTGAGAATACAAACAAAATACATGTCTTCAATTTTAATGTCTTAAAGAATAGTTGGTCACATATTAAGTCCCTCTCTTTCCTTTTTTTTGTCCCTTCTATGGCCTTTTCCAACTATTCACTCAAAAATCAACATTGTCAAGGTTCAAATTCTTGAAAAGAAATAGTACCCTAAAGTTTGTCACATTTTTAAATGTTTCTTTTCAGGCTTTCAAGGCTGAAATGGACAAGCGCAAGCCTTCGTTTGCCAAGAAGTCACCATCATTTACTGAAGGTAAGTTCTAATCTGTGTATCTTGTGGTATGTTTTTGTTGTAATACGATTTCACAAAATCAAGTGACAAAAAAGCAGAGATTACTCAACAAGTACCTTGACATGCATTAGCTGACTGAATTATAATGAGCGTGAAGAGCAGCTGGCTTTATCAAAAAACACATTAAATAGATTGTTGATGAGTTGTTGTCATTGTTTTTTTTTTTTTACTGTTGTTGTTATTTATCCAGCACATGCTGAGTACTTTTTGTTCTTGTTGTTTTTACTGGTGTTGTTATTGATTTACCACCTGCTGAGGTTTCACCCCCTTTGCTTGATGCCTTGTAGTACAATGTGCTGTTTCTGTAGTTTTCCAATTTCAAATGGGAGTTAAATATTTTTGGTCAGGTTAAAAGAAAACGGAGAAGGTGACAGTTGACTGTAGTGGTGGAAGTTATATATGGTGGTCAGGAAATGGAGATGCAGTTTTATATAATTGAGATGGAATTTTGGAGAAAACATATTTTGTTGTACAGCAAAAGGGTTACTGTTGTGTGTCCTTTTCTTAAGTTGCCAGTCATGTTTTAATTTTTAATTTTTTTAATTTGGGTATTATAGCAATGGTATTTCACTCGAACCATATCATTGGCAGAAAATAGGTTTTTGGTTTTTTGTTCTAGAACCTTTTCTTTTCTTTTCTTTTGGTAAGTGTCTTACGGCGCTCGCAACTGCATAAGGTCATATGCGCGCACAGGACACACAAAACATTTTCAGTTGGTAGGAAATATTGAATTTTGCATGGGTGGTGGCCGAAGCCTACTTTTATCATTTTAGACCACCAAGGGATCTTTATCATGCACAACTTGCACATGGGACCTCGAGATTTTTCACCTTTTTCCGAGAAGGCTAGGTGTAGATCTTTCCTACCAGAAGATCAGCGGTGAGACTGAAAGACAGCAGTAAGGAGCCAAGGAGTAGCAGTCGAAAGGCTGCAAAAAGAGTCAGGAGCCCAAAGGAGGGGGCTAAGGAGGTGAGGGGATGGGGGTAGAAAGTGGAGATGAAAGCAGATGACAGAACATTGCTACAGAGCAGGAAAGGATGTGAAAGGAGACAATTTTAGAGAAGAAAATTTTTTGCTTGGTACCCGGATTGAACCCGGGACCTTTGAATGAGAGGCGATCACCTTAACGTCTAGGCCATGAGACCCCCCATAAAAGCTTTGCTGATGCCGTCTTGTGGGTCCTCAAAAAAAAAATTATTCTCCCCAAGAATAGACATGATCCATTGTAACTTATTTAGGTGTAAATTAAATCATCTGGAAATTGATTTGGATCAGGAAATGTATTTTTGCCCGTTGAAATATACTCAAGAAGCAAGGTACATGAACTCCCCTCCTTTGTTATAGAGTCATTCCTTTCTAAGGTTTGAATTGTTTCTTATTTCTTTTAGTGTGCCGTATCATGAAACAGAGATGAGTTCCAAACTAGTACATTTCAACATTTGTCTTAAATATTTTGGGTTCATGTCTTTCCTCTTTTAAAAAAAAATTTTCTGTAGATTTTGTAAATTTAGTATATTACTGTGGGAGGGACGATGACTTGCTAATATAAATTATGCAAGCTATGGACTTATTCTTTGACTGAAAGGTCACATTTTGTATTGGGGAAAAAAGAGTCTGTGTAAAAGCTTGATAGTTGTACAGCTTGTACTTTAATGCATTAAAAATCTCAAGTATTGGAGATTTTACCCTGTTATGTTTTTTCTTTTCCCACTGCAGAAAAACAAGTTTGTGTGAGATAGGTTGAGGTATCGATGAAAGTTTTAGAAGTCTTTGTGCCAAATTAACATCTTACTAACTGAAACAAGCTTTTGAAACTAAAACTCTGGCTTAAATAACCCATACCTGCCAACCAGTACGATAAAACCGTATTTCGTACGGTTCCAACATGCTCGGTACGATGGTACGGTATCGCATTGAAAAATACGATTTCGCGTTTTTGTAATAGCACATCGAGAGTTTGTTTCGGGAAAAGGGCATTCCACAATTTTAATTCGCTGATGAGCCCACAAATACTTTGGTACTCGGGTCCTCAGGGGAAATGAACAAATATTTTGTGTTGATTGCTCCCACTTTGTCTTCATTGTTTATAAATATCGACACTGGGCATGAGGTGTACTAATACAGAATACCGATTTTTGTAAGTCTTAAGTTATCCACCTGCAAAATCTCGAATGATTACAAGCATGTTGTTACTGTTCAGTATTTTGCTTCCAGTCTTTCTGTTTTTTTCTTTTGTCTTTCCGTTGTTGATGGAAGTTAGGCCCATGTTAAATTACTACAGTTATAAATTCTAGGTCTAAATTGTGTTTCCTCTTAAAAGTGTATAAACAAAAGTGTGTTGTGACGCGTTTACGGGTAAATCTAGGATGCTGTTTCACAATAGATAATGCAAAGCAGCCAAAGAAAAAACAGAGAGCAGACTTTTTGTGACACATATGTTAATGAGTTTCCGTTCTTCTCATGCTTTGAAGCATCTAACAAATTTGCCTTTTGCAGGCACTGCCGACGTGACATTTCCATTTCACATGGTGGACGTTCTGACATTCTGCGTCATGCTAAAATAAACATCCATAAAAGAAATGTAGAGGCTGTAGTGTTGGGCTTTAGTCAATATCGATATCGGGTACTCATCTATACTGGTTTTCTTAGTAAATACTTGATATCGCAGAGTCCCTTAGTCGATACTGATCAGTGTAATGAGTGTAGTGTTTGCCGCCTAATCTATGTGATATCAGAGAGAAACGTGCTGTCTACGATCACCCGTCTTTTGTTTCTAAATAGGCTTAGTCATGTTGAGAAAGAAGAAGAGCACTGTTTGGAAGCATTTTGAAGAGTTTGCATGAAACAAAGAGGCAAGGTGCCTTGTTTGTCTCAACATATTAAAGCATCATGGGAACAGCACAAATCTCATGAAACATCTACACACCAAACATCCAAGTGAAAGTGCTGCCCTTGACAAGGAGAAAGGCGGTAGCAGAGTTGCAGTGCAGGACCTGCAAAGCTGATGAAACTATCAGATTACACCCGTTCAGAGCCCTACCCGCCTTCACACTTCAAGAAAAAAACTTCTTGATGACAAGGAAGTCAAAATGATTTGCATAAAAAACAAAAAACAAAACAATAAACAAAAATAATAATAACAACAACAACAAAAATCGCATCTTACAACTAGGTACACAGGCAGTAGAGCCTGGTAAGCCAAATGACTGACACCGTGACCTTTGACCTTTCATCTCTTTAAGCACAGACAGTAAATTATATACTGTCTCTGATTAATGCGCTTCAAGGAAACAATACGGTCAGCACATGTTATATTTTTGTGACGTCACAGTATCAATATCGAGTATCGATCGATACTGGGAACGCGGGTACCTGATACTACCCGATATTAGCTAATATCGATTAACGCCCAACACTAAGAGGCTGACATGGACATAAAGAAAGATCAACCACCCGTTTTGAATTTCGAATCGAAATCTTTAGCAGAAGATGAGAGTGCAATATATGCTGAATGCCTTTTTACAGCTTTTTATTTGAAACATAACTTTCCATTGTCGGCTGCAGACCACATGGGCCCATTATTACATGCAGCTTTCCCAAACTCCCAGAAAGTTAAACAATTTCACTCAGGTAGGACAAAGACTTGAAGCATTGCTAAAGTTATGGCAAAAGAAAACACTTACTCATTAGTACAGAAATTAAGAAAATTTCCCTTTTAAAGTTTTCTCTCTCTCTCTCTCCTTCCTGACTACCCCTATTTTTCTGGGTCGCTTTGCAAGTGAGATAGTGAAATTTTAGCCCAAGGGAGGCCAAAATTCCATTGTAAAAATGTAAAATGTCGTTTTCGGCCGCGCCCGGACCCCCCACCAGGGCGATGCCCCTGGACCCCCCACCAGGGCGATGCCCCTGGACCCCGCCAGAGCCTAAGGTGGCCCTTGGGCCCCGCTAGCCTATGCGTCCCCTATGTTGAAGCCTTTTCTCTTTATGTATTTTTTAAAATTTTGCTTTCAGAGGAAACCGAGGAAAAGTACCTTCAAGTAGTTGGTTGGAGAGACAACATGCCCCAAGTTCTTGATGAACTGAAGCTGAAGGTACAACCTGAATACTATTATTTTGAGGTATGGCACTAACATAAGTAAATGAATTGTGTGGGTGTGTGGGAATATTCTTCCACTATGTTAACATTACTGTGCCATTTCACACTTGATATGAGGCATACGATGATTATGGTTAGTTTTGTGTCTCTATATATGTCTACAATGTCATCATCATCATCATCATTGCCTTTCTCACCCTAGATCAGGATATAGGCCACAAACATACACTTTCCACCTTTGCCTATCCTGGGCTAGTCGCTTGATGTCACTCGATGTCTTCCCACTTTTCTGTACATCTATTTCCTTGACTCTACTCCAGGTTCCATGTGGTCTTCCCCTTGATCTTTTACCCTGTGGGTTCCAATCTAACACTTTCTCTGTTATGCAGCTGCTTGACGTCCTGAAAGTGTGTCCAATTCATCGCCAACGCCTTCTTCCCACCTCATCTCTGACTGGGCTCTTTCTCGTTCTTCTTAATACTTCCTCATTGGTGATCCTGTCTGTCCATCTGATCCTCAGTAGCTTCCTCAGACACTTGTTCAAGAAAACCTGGATCCTCTTTATGCACGTCTGAGATGCATTCCACGTCTCATATCCACACAAGACTGACTTCTCATTTGTGTAGAAAATTCTCAGCTGTCCGTAGTGAGATATCCCTGGTCCTCCAAATCCTGTTCCTCCCTGTCTGTCAATTATACTCAAAAAATAGCAGAAGGATTCAACATCTTCTAGTGCATTTCCCTCTACTGTGACCTGCTCCTTTTGTAATGCATCTATCCTTAGGACTTTTGACTTTCTGGGGTGGGTCCTCAATTCAACAGACTCTTTTGTTGTTTTTGTATAGTGTTTTATGGCGCTCGCAACTGCATAGGTCATATGAGCACGCGGGACACTCCTAATATTTTCAGTTGGTAGGAAATTTTGAATTTTGCCCGGTTTTTAGACCACTAAGGGATCTTTAACGTGCGCAACTTGCACACGGGCCCTCCGAGATTTTTCGCCCTTGTCCGAGAAGGCTAGGTGTAGATCTTTCCTACCAGAAGATCAGGGGTGTGGCAGAAAGACAGCAGTAAGGAGGAGCCAAGAAGTAGCAGTAGAAAGGCTGCAGAAAGAGTCAGGAGCCCAGAGGAGGGGGCAAAGGAGGTGAGAGGGTGGGGGCAGAAAGTGGAAATTAAAGCAGACAACAGATCATTGCTAGAGAGCAGGAAAGGAGGTGAAAGGAGACAACTTTAGAGAAGAAAATTTTTCGGTCGCTACCCGGATTTGAATCCGGGACCTTTGAATGAGAGGCCAACACCTTAACCTCTAGGCCACGAGAGCCCCCTCAACAGACTCTGATAGGTTGTTTAAAATTGTTGCCTTTTCTTGTATCTGTACCTGAGTGTGTCACAGAAGCGCCAAGTCATCTGCAAAGTCCAGATCGTCCCAGTGTGTCCATGGGGTCCACTGTATGCCGTTTCTGTGTCCTCTGGTGGTTTCCTTCATCAGCCAGTCAATTGCCAAGATAAAGAGGAAAGGTTATAGTAAACATCCCTATCTCGCATGCAATCTGGTCCGTGGTTGACCGGTTTTTCCTAAAAGCAGCCTGTTCATCCCGAAGTCTTGAATCCGTTGCAGACTTTATTCTCTCCAGAATGATTCTGTTGAAGACCTTATCTGGTATTGAGAGAAGAGAGATTTCTTGGTAGTTGCTGCAGTTGCTGAGATCCCCCTTTTTAGAAAATTTCACAAGGTGTCCTTCTTTCCAATCCTTTGGGTACTTGCTCTCATTCCAGATCCTGGTAAACAACGGGAGAAGGAGGTCTGCCATCACATTGGCATCTGTTTTTAGGGCCACTGGTGGAATCTGATCAGGTCCGGCTACTTTACTGTTGTTCAGCTTCTTAATGGCATCCATAATCTCTTGTTTCGATGGAGCATCACAGCAGATTGGTTACTCTTTTCTTTCTGGCAGGATGTTTGGCGGGTTACTTGGTGGTGGTCTGTACAGGAGACTGTTGAAATGCTCTACCCTTCGTCTTAACTGAGCTTCCTTTCGAAGAATGGTTTTTCCCTCTTGGTCTTTTACTGTTACTTCTGGTTTCCCACATTTTCCAGAAAGTGTCTTTGTAGTCTGGTAAAGGATTTTCGCCTGTTCCCTCCTGCTGCTGCCTCCTCTGCCCTCTCTGCCAGCCTGTTCATGAATTCCTCCTTGTCTTTTCTCAGTGATCTCTTTTCGTCTTTAGCTGTTGTTCTGTACTGCTCCAACGCGTCTGCTTTTGATCCCCTTGTTCTACTTGCATTTGTCTCTGCTTTCAATTGCCTTCTAATGCTAATCAAATCCAATGACCGTTGGCTAATTCATTCCTTATGCTCCAATTTCTTCTCACCGTGTATTTCTTGACATGTTGAAGTAAAGACTTCTTTGACCTTGGTCCAGTGCAACTCCCCCTCCATGTCCTCCTCACCAAGATCCGCCAAGGGTTGAAATCTGTTCCTCAACTGCAGTTGAAACTTCTCTTTCTTGTGTCCATCTAAAAGACTTAATTGGAACTTCTTTCTTTTGGTTCCTGTTCTGGTTCCATGCTTTTTGAGACCAAGCTAGAGTTTTGCTAACAGCAGATGATGATCCGATCCAACGTCTGCCCCTCTCTGTACTGTGACATCTTCCAGTAAACACCTGAACCTACGAGAGATACAAAAATGATCGATCTGGTTCTCCATTACTCCATCCGGTGATACCCAAGTAGCCTTGTGGATCCTCTAGTAGGCGAAAACAGAGCCTCCGATGACAAGACTGTTGAAAGCACAGATATTTGCAAATCGCTCACGTCTCCCATGATTCCCTCATACCCTACGTTGTCCTAACCAATCAATGGCATCTCCCATTATGATGTTGACATCCTTTCTTGGTAGTTTATCGATAACCCACCTAGAGCCGGCTGTAAAAAAACATCCTTGTCTTCATCTGAAGCTTCATTTGTTGGGGCGTAGATCTGTACTAGGTTCATGTTGATGCTCTTACTCCTGGTGGTGAAAGAAGCCATGATGATCCTCTCCCCCTGTGGTTCCCATCCTTTGACTTCTGTGCATACTTACTCAAAATCATTCCAACTCCCTCCGGGTGGTGCTTGTCTTCCCTCCCTGAGTAGGCCTACAATATTTGTTCCTTCGAGCTGAGCTGCTTCTGTCCAGACTGCATCCTTTCAAGTCAGACCATCCCAAGAATGTCCTAGGTCTAATCTATGAAATATGTGAAGTTATGGATACAGGCTTGCTACTCATTTGTGGAGTTGATTTTGCTGTGTTGTTATTACTGTTACTATTACTATTACTATTGCTATTGCTATTACTATCATTACCATTATTGTTGTGGTTGTCATAGTATTTGTACTATTTACATTATATTTAGTATTATAATAAATGGATCAATAGAATAAAGTGTGAACTTTTCCTTTCCCCAGATGCCACCTGCTGTTCGAAGCAGTGGGTTGAGTGATTGGGGAGAAGGAAGTTACAATTCTAATGCCTGGACTCATAGAGCTTCTACAGGCTCAGACATGAGGGAAGACACCGAGAGGGAGAGGAGAGATGAAACTGAGAGGAAAAGGAGAGAAGAGACCGAGAAGGAGTTGAGAGAAGAAACTGAGAGGAAGAGGAGAGAAGAAGAAACTGAAATGGAGAGGAGAGAAGAAGCCGAGAGGAAGAGGAGAGAAGAAACCGAGAGGGAGTTGAGAGGAGAAACTGAGAGGAAGAGGAGAGAAGAAGAAACTGAGATGAAGAGGAGAGAAGAAGCCGAGAGGGAGAGGAGAGAAGAAACCGAGAGGGAGAGCAAAAACAGCTCTCGGAGTTTTTACACAGGTACAAGGACAACAACGAAGATCAGTGCAGAGGTGTGTTCTTAAAGTTTTTTTCACTTGAGTAAATTTGACATTTTTGTTTCATTCCGGACTGTGGAACCACTAGTCTCCCCCAGGGATTACCACTATGTCATGCTTTGAAGTAATGCAACCCTCTTGTTAAAAAATATAATGAACAAAATATTGACTTGAGAGAATGTGAATATTGTGTAATTCTTTTGATAAAATAACATGGCGTACCTTATAATCTATGATATCTCCAAGAATATTTATTATTTGAAGGATACAATGGAGTCTGCTGAAAATGAAATACACAGTTAATCCAATAACAGCGATAAATTGAAAAAATTAAACTCCCAGATTTTTTTGCCATATTATTGTTACTGTTACTCTAACTATTATTATTACTATCATTACTATTACTGTTGTTCTAGTATTTTTATAATTAACGTTATTTTTAGTATTATCTAGGGCTGTACCCCGGTAGCAAACACGCTCTCGCTCGCAAGACCCTAGTTCAAGTCACAAGCCTCAAATCACTAGGTCAAATCATCAAATCAAATCACCAGCATGATACGTTGAGTCTAGCCTAAGCTTCAAGTACCCACACCAAATTGCAATCCGCGAAGCCACTCGTGTCTGACCCCCTCTTCCTTCTCCTCCCTGCTTGCAATCCGCGAAACCCCTAACGTCAGAAAGAGAGAGGGGGGGAGAGAGAGAGACCCCGCACACAGTGTCACTGCGCCACAAACTAGTCTGTTCGATTATTCGAAGGCATACGAGCAGCGGACGGCAGGCAAGACTCAAATCGCAGCAGAGCAAAGCACTTGGTCCCAAGACCTGCTTGGCATCTCGTATTGCTTTGTGCTAAGGGCTTGCTCTGGTGCCAATAAATCTGCTTTGAGTCCAACTACCGCCCTGGCAAAACAACACCGCTCGTCAGTACCACACCGCTCGTCAGGCAAACACCGCTCGTCTGCACCGAGCCGCAAGATCTACCGGTAATCCACCCCGCTCGCGGCGTGAACTCTGAACTCTGGACGTGGAGGAAGCAAGAGGCAGCGCTGGTTTTGGTGCAAGGCGAAGAGGGCTGTAATAGCCTAGTGCAGACCGTTCGCGACCTCGGTGCTTTAACAGTGAAAATGTGACATCTTCGTAGGCTCCCATTTTGTTATGAGCTGTTTTCACTGGTATTAAAAATGGAGATACGACAAGAAAGCACTGGGGTAGCGGTATGCTAAACTATTTAGGACGCTGAATAAAGGTGTGAACACTTACAAACAATTTTTAACTAACAAAATAAATCAGTATTGTTAGCATCCCGTGGCTTGTAATTTAATACTCGCCTAAACTACACTTCCACTCCCACCCCGACACTTAGAACAAGTTGAAGTTGAAGAGAAAGCATTAGGGAGAGGATGACAATCGTGATTTTGTCTCTGAACAATGTAAACAACTTTTGATTTGACTGCTTCCCTATCAGAAAATCATTGTTAAGGTAAATTATATCACATTGTTAATTACATTGTAGGCCTATAACTTTTGAAAAACATCTCGCTGCACTGTAACTGATATTATGTATGTATTGTGCATGTTCTATCATACAAATAATAATTATGATCTCGAATTACGCCCAGAAAATCAATAAAGCAAAACATAATCCTTCCCCCCACCCAAAAAAATTTTTTTTTTAATCAACAAAAAACTGAACAAAAAAAAACCAAGACAAATAAAACCCTGTCAAACCAGGAGGCGTAAGGGGAGGGGCGGGTTCTACGTAAAGCGAGGGGTGGCGAACACCTCTCGCTTTCCCAGCCATACCACCCCTTCCCCTCCCCAAACAGCGCCATTGCTGGAAGTGTGAGGGTTTTTTAGGGCTTGTCAGCGTGCAGCACGCGGGCAGAAGTATCGCGCGCTCAGTAAACAAGAGTTTGTGACATCACGACACAAATCAGTAAGCCCGTCCGCCGTCCACGAGTAGCAACTCCGGTAGCGGGCAAAGCTCAAGCCTGCTCGCAAGCCTCTGGCACGAGCCGTCCGTTGCTCGCAAGCCTTCGATTAATCGAGCAGACTCCAGCCCTAGTATTATCATTAGACTTAAAGGGATCAATTGAATAAGGTATGAACTTTTCCTTTCTCCAGATTTCTTCTGCTGTTCAAAGAAGTGGGCTGAGTGATAGGAAAAAAGAAATGTACGATTATGATGCCCTGACTCATAGAGTTTCTACAGGCTCAGACAAGAGCGAAAAAGCAGAGAGGGAGAGGGGAGATGAAACCAAGAGGGAGAGCAGAAACAGCCCTCAGAGTATTTACACAGGTACAAGGACAACAATGGAGACCAGTGCAGAGGTGTGTTCTTAAAGTTTTTTTCACCCGAGTTAAATTGACAGTTTTGTTTCATTCAAGTTTTCGGACTGTGGAACCACTAGTCTCTCACAGGGATTACCACTGTGTCATGCTTTAAAGTAATGCAACCCTCTTGCTTCTCCTTCCTTCTTTCTTTCTTCTTCTATCTTTTCTCCCACCGCTGGCCTCATGTGCAGCAAAAAGAGAGGTCACCCATCCCACAGAGTGGGCGCCTTGTTGACCGTGAGGTGCGACCCGTTTACTGATATGAGCAAAAAATGTTGAGAGAAGTGTAGTCTTTGAAAGAAAGATGGAGAAAGAACGGGAAAATAACTGTTCATTTGATGTAGATTTATTCTACCGTTTGGATACTTCAAAAACTTGTATTGTTTTAAACATTATGTGCACTCTCTCAGGGAAAGCACTGTGTAAATTTCAAATACACCATTATTATCTTATGATATAGTACTATTATTAGTATTATTATTCTTACATGTCATTATTGTAGTTGTTGTTGCTGTTATTATTATTGTTATTGTAAGATTTAAAATGGGTCTCTAAAGTAGTAGGCTACCTTCTCTCATTACTAGATATCAGCTCGTATTCCTGGCGATATGTTGAGTGGTGAGAGAGGAGGAGAGTACTCGTCTGATCATAGGGCTCGCAGGAATCCAAGTTATTTTACAGACCCAGAGATGAGAAACAAGACGGAGAGAGATGGAGGAGCCAGTTCTTATAGTAATCGTCGGTTGTCGGCAGGAGCTGGGATAGGTATCAAGGTGGGTTCTAAATAATGTTCCACTTTACTTTTGCTGAATTTTTGTACAACCCAAGTTCCTTAATGGCTTACCCACTTGCATAGCTGCCAACTAGTCTGAAGAAAAGAAAAAAAGTTATGTAGTATGTTTTTGGGGATCGGAGTAGGTAAGTGTGTTTTTGTGTTGGAAGATACATTTTCTCTGTTTTCTAGTATTTCTCCTCACGGATTTGCTGATGCTGAAGAAACATTATGTACTTTCTAAACAGTATTTGTGAAAAATGATTAGAATGAAGCCCATAAGTCAATTGGAGAAACCTTTACAAAATATTTCAGACATCATTGCCGGTGTGCTTGAAACAGTTTGAATTTATAGCACGCAGAAAAGTGTATGTCGTCGGCAGAGAATTCTAACCGTCTAACTCCGAAATTTTCTCGAATTGCTTTTTTCCTGAAAATAGATTGACATAACGAATGGCTACGTCCTATTAGGATCTAGAACAATTTTGACAAACAAAAGTCTTGTTTTAAAGAAAAATTATAACCGTATATTCCGACTGACTTCCGTGACTGAAGAATTCTAACCGTCTAATTCGTTTAGGCAGTCCACCATTGTAAATCACGGCGATAACGTTTTGCTCTGAAGGATGCGTTTGATTATAAATGAAATTCTTTTTTCCTTAAAATAGATCGACATGACGAATGGCTACATCCTATTAAAATCTAGAACAATTTTGACAAACAAAAGTCTTGTTTTAAAGAGATATTCTAACCGTATATTCCGACTGGCTTCCGTGACTGAAGAATTCTAACCGTCTAATTCGTTTAGGTAGCCCGCCATTGTGGATCACGGCGATAACGTTTTGTGTGGTCCATGAAGTATCATCTGCGAGTGAATGGGGGCCAGAGTAAAAGTGTGCACGGCTTTCTTCTTAAGTCCTGTACTTTGTTACTAGTGTGTTCACATTGTTCTCATATGTGGGTTGGGTGTAGCAGAGGGTGAGGTTCCAGTTCAGAGAAAAAGGGTTAGGGAGGAGACTACAGCATCAAAGGTGCTTAAACTTAAACAGTTTGTTCGTGGTCTGCCCAAGTGGCGATCTCACTATTGCCGAGGGACTCAAGTAAGTTATACTTGGAACCTGTTTTCCAGAGCTTACAGGCAGTGTACCGCCGTTTGTATAAAGAAAAGGGGGAGTGTGTGTGTGTAGTGTGTGTGTGTGGGGGGGGGGTACTTTCTACCTTCAAGTTTAAAGAGGAGATCAATGCTATGAGCATGTCATTGTTCCATCCTCGAAAAGATAATTGTGATCTTTGTGTGGTCTTTGAGGAGGGGAATGTGGAAGAGGGGGCATACAAAAAAGACAGCAGACAAGGAAAAATGCATGGGCAGCCCCAAAATCAAATACATCAAAATGGACCAGCAATCACTTTTGCTATATCCACGCACCAATGCTTCTGCTTTGTACTACAAGACGAAATTGAATGTACACAATTTCACAGTATAGGAACTAGAGAGCAAGGACTGTGTATGGTATGTCTCAAATGAATGCGAAGGTGCTCTGACTGCAAATAAGTTTGCTCCTTGTGTGGCTGATTTTTTGTCATCTGATCTGACTCCAGATCATTATATTCAGATGGATGTGGTTGTCTCAGAACTGCAAAGTCACAATGAGTTCTGCACTGTTACATTTCAGCTCTGTCAATGGTAAAACTGTAACATTAAAATTGCTAGAGAAGGGCTATACACATATGGAGTTGGACAGTGCTCACAGCACTATCCAGCTGATTATGTCAGGCTAATGGAAGAAAGTAGGAAAGTGAAGCCGTATGTAGTCAAGTATTTGACTCATTGTATCTTTTCTGATTTCATCAAACTAACCAACCAGAGTTTACACACCAGATGTTCAAATTAAATACAAACTGAGATTTGATGATGACTGGTCACATCTGCCTTTGAAGCGCGGCGAGTCCACAGACATTCTCCATAAAGACATGAAGGGACTGCCTCTGTACCAGGGTAGAAAGTTTAATTCGTCCAAAGAGAACTTTAATAACACATGCAAGAAATGAAGTCTGTTGTGCCATCTGACTACCACAAGTTCTATGACAAACTAGAATTGTGTACGTCACCAGTGCGCAAGTTAAAACCCACGGTTAAGTCTAATTTGATATGCAGTGTATTGTGTTTTGGTTTATGTAGTTTATTTTTAGCTAACCAGAGCTTTAGCTTCATTGGGTAGAGCATTTTTTAAAGCCTCATAATGGTGCTTGGACAAGAGGATAATTCATTCCTGTTGACACTGGATGCTACTATGGCACACCTCATCTTGATGACTTTCTATGTAAAATGTGTTATTTAATTAGGCCATACATTAGGTGGGAATGCATTATATGAGGTTTAGTTGAGTTTTAAAAAAAATCATGTTATTTCTAGAGTCTTCTAACCAAGTTAAACCATGTTTTTAGAGTTAGAAGCATTTCAGTTTCTTCCACTGGAGAACTGATGGGTCGCTTTTCAATCTTGCTCGACTTCGAGCCAAGACCAAAATCAACAAACCAAACAAGAATACGAGACCTTTTCTTTGCCGGTGATGCTGCTGTTGTCGCTCATAGTGAGTCAACCCTACAAATAATCCTATGTTTAAGAAGATTGAGATGGCTGGGCCATGTCAAGAGAATGGACGACAACCGGATTTCGAAGCAATTTCTCTATATGGAGAACTTGCCCATGGAAAGAGACCAAAGGGAAGGTCAAAACTGAGGTACAAAGACATCTGCAAAAACAGATTATCTAAGCTTGGAGTAGATGTCAGCATCTGTGAAGAAATAACCGAGGACAGGAAAACATGGAGGAAAATGATAAATGAAAGGACTATTATGCTAGTGACTAGAGAGCAAGCACTGCGACAGAATCTGCACTTCAAACAGGAAAAATTAGCCATAAAAGAAGCTCCATGAAGACAATTCGTATACGGAAATTCTTCTCTGCCCCCCCCCCCCTCTCTCTCTCTCTCTCTCTCTCTCTCCCTCAATCTGTTTCTCTCTCTTTCAGACCCTTCCCTCTCTCTCTCTCTCTCTCAGCCCCTCCCTTCTCTCTCTCTCTCTCTCTCTCTCTCTCTCTCTCTCTCTCTCTCTCTCTCGTAGCTAGACAAGTAACTAATCCTTCTCACAATTTCCTTGAGAATGGAGGATCAAATAGTAGCTTTATAGTAAAAACTTAACTACGCACTTAATCTGTCGACAAGCCCATTGCCTAATTAGAATTATGTGGAAATAAAGTGTGACGTTCAGTTTTAGATATAATAACAGTATTATTGTTAGATTCTAGATCTACAGTACTATGTAGTACTAATTAGAACTTTTATAGTAGGTTTCCTATTGGATTGACTGCAGGTGTAGTCATTTGGAGTTGTTCGGTAACACTAACATGTCACAATGACTGAGATGTAACGAAGCGCATGGCATCCCCGCCGGGTTGGAGAATTCTAAATGAACAATTCGTTCGTCGAACTTGGACGCTTAGAAATCCAAAACTGAGCGGTCTATCTGTATAACTCTGGTTTAGGACTTAAAATAATAAAATTTCGGCAATTTTGTTTTAAATACTTAAAAGTAGAGTCATGTATTCCAGTCTAGCGCATTTAAAGATAGTAAATCCCCATAAGAGCCTTTGAATTCAGTTTTTTGTCTCTCCTGCAAAATTTACGAAATCGGAGTTGGATGGTTAGAATTCTCCGCTCTCTCTCTTCTCTCTCTCTATCTCTCTCTCTCCACTTTACATAACCTATAGTAACATTGAAAGAGACGAATAGTTGCCTATAAAGGAAAGGACACTATATTAATATGTTTTCTTAACCTTATCCGAATGTCATGTTTTACTATCATATCCATACGATATGCCTCACTCTGTGCCCCACTTTCCAAAGAGGAAATTTACTCGTTAATCCGATTCGTACGCTTTGCATAGCAGTCTATCAAAATGATTTTTTGAGAAATACTGAAAGTTTCAAAGAGATCTTCGCACTAGAAGTATTCTAAAATGTGAAGAATAGAACCCCGCGGGTACAAAATGACCCCAGGGTGTACGGATATATAGGGTTAAGCATGCTGGTCTATATGAATGCCTCCTGAAACAGCCAAGCTTTGCAAACAGAATTCATACAGGCACTAAGCTGCTAAAGCTTGTCAAGACAAACGTACAGAGCACAAGAAGGTAGAAGGACAGGCAGGCAGAGGAAGAGATGGTGGGGGGGGAATCCTATAGAATATGCAGCTGTGATGCGGGGATCCTATAGAATATGCAGCTGTGATGCGAGGTGTGGAGAAAGTGAATTGCTCCATTCATTTGCATGTCGTCCTGGGCAAAAGGATCATAGACCTGAGGTGTACATCATACGGTTGGGGAAAAAGGCACAAAGTAACAAAAACGTGAATTATTTTTATGTAAAGTGACATGACTACAGATGGTCTTGGTTGTACTTTATTCTTTAATGTTATTAGAATTTTTAAAATATCATTTGGTTTCAGTGACTCTAGGGTAAAACCACATTAACACCAAATCTGGTGGTCAGACCGAACCTGATGTTTCTGCAGGGGGTGAACCACCCACATTGTCACCTGAAACTGACAGTCAGACACTCGTCTTTTGCAAAAATGACATCTAGCAGAGGGAGAAAGTTGTTGTTTTTGTTGTGATTGAGAAGAAAGCAAGTGAGATACTCGTTTTATAGATCTTGACAATTTGGGATTCATCCTATACAGAAAAAATGGGAATCTTTGGTGATGAGTTTCATCACTTATTTCCTCTACTGAGTCAGGACAGTGAGAGATTCGTTCAAATCGTGCCGCATGAAACAAAGTTCTTTTAATGATGTATTAGAAATATGCGGAGATGCTTTGACCAAGGAAGTGACAATTTTTAAATTAAAAAAAAAAAATTGTCTCTTCAACTGAATGACTTACAGTTGTCATTTGGTAAGTGATGTTATGGTAAATAAATAAATAAATAAATTAATTAAATAAATAAATAAATAAATAACATTTTATTGATCACCATAGGGAAATTTGGGTTACAATGGCAAAAATTACATACATAAATACATACATGCATAAATACATACATAAATACGCAATATTACACCAATTCAGAACAATGACACAAACATGCCATTGCTGGTCACCGCTGTGCAGCACCCTGTTTTTTTTAGCTAGTGTTGTCTTGTTCAAGGATAACCCAGCACCCCAGTGACCGCTCACCTAAACCCAGTGTCACAGACACTTGCTTGACATGACTTTTGAGTCTGAACTCACTACTCGCTTACCCACTGGAACCCTCACATCATCATCATCATCATCATCATCATCATCATCATCTCCCCACCCCTCCCACCCTGTCTGCTTTAACTTTTAAATGATACTGCAAAGAACTATAATTTCTTATCACTGTATCATAACGTGAGTGTTTACATTACACCTCAACGAACGTAGTGGTGACATAGAGGTTATTTAAAGACAAGTGGGGGGAAAGAGCGCATGGTAAAATGAACAATTGATGCTGAAATAATCTTCCTTTTTGCCAGAAGGTAAAAATGGATAGAGCATATTCTATCGGAAACGATCTGATCCAGGATGTCAAGTGCAATCGGGAAGGCATGCCGTTTTTCGTTTCTGTCATTACTGTAATTTCTGTGCATAATATTTTTGACCAGAAAACAGCCAGGTGTAATCGTCAGGTCTAGTGTTAATGTGGCTTTACCCATAGGTTTAAAAAAATTGGAGTTAGCTTTTTTAGTATATATGATATTATTATTATTTTTTTGTTGTATCAATACATCTGGTTATTGGTATTATTACTATTACAATTGTTATTATATCATTGTTCTTGTTCTTATTGTGTCGTTTTTGTCAAAAGCCTACATTGTTGTTCCCTTACTATTTTGATACTTGAGAAATAGATCAATAGACTATATTCATGATTTTGTCCCATCTTCAGATGCCAAGTGCTGTTGCTGGTGGATTGACGAGTTTGGAGGAAAAATATCTGTCTTATCTTACTACAAGCAGAGAGGGAACTCCAATGAACAAGACAGACCAGACTTATTATAAACAAACCCTGTTTACTTATCGAAAATAAATATGTAGACAAATAATGCATATTTTATTTGTGCATTTTTCTTTGCAAATAAATGACAAGGTTATTAAAACACATCCAGAAAAGTGTGTAATGGTCCCAATCTTCCTTCACTGATCATGGGAACCCACTGACTGCTATGCATTACCTCCAATGGTAAAAAATTAGAGTTGTTTAATCTTGTGTTATAAAAAATTAAGTTAAATATACAGAAACAACAAAGGGAAAAAAAAAGAGTAGAACTTGCCTATAGCAGCCTCCAACCACCTGCACTTTTGCTGAAGAAACTTCAGGTTTGAGCCAGCTCCTTGAGTTTTATGTGTTGTTTTGTTTTTGAGTTATTGTATTTATGGTGAGTTAGCGTGATGATGATTGCCTCATTTTCTGGGAATACTAAGGAATAGGACGATTGGTAATCCTGAAAAGAATTGGAAGAAGGACATCACGTTGCCTATTGTATCAATTTTGTGTATGTAGTGTCATGTAGTTATACAGTTGGGGTGTGTGAGTACTCCAGTCCTCACATTATCACATTAATAATAATTTGAATTTTCGTTCGTTGCTTTTATAATTGTCAATATTGTTTTGGTCTGTTTTTGTACTGTTGGGGTTGTTCGTTAATTCATTAATTAGTACCAGCGTCTGTGATGCAGCGGTTAAATGCTTTACTGTCACATGCAGGAGACTTGAGTTTTATTTCCGAATGGGGTGAAATTTTCATTGAGTTTCTCAGTCTTTCTGTTTGGGATGTTGTATCCCTCTCAGCCTGGGTTTGCGCTGATAGACAGGGTTGGAAGCCCACCTCCTAAATGATCTAATTTGTGTTGATAGGAATGTAAAAACACTTACAAAACAATTAATTGAATCAATAAAATTTAGTTAAGCATAAGCAAATGATATATTATTATATTAAGCCTGTGTTCAGGATTCGAGTACTCGCTCAAGTATTTCATGATTACTCGGATTCAAAATGCTAGACAGGCACATTAAAGTATGTTACTGTTTTGATGCTGTGTCAGCTTTTTGAGATCGCAATATTGTCCTGTATATTTTAAATAAGATAGGTGCCAACCTCATATTGTGGCAGCTATACTATTTTTGTTGATGCCCATGGCTGCAGCATTTTGTTTTGTTCTTGTAGAATTTTCCACCCTGCTAGACAGAATTATGTCTTTTTTTTCTTTTCTAAGGCAAAATATGTGGCCAAGGGACAAGTTAAAGAGAGAGGATTTCTTTTTTTAAATGTATTGTCATTGATGATATGCCATAATAAGTATCTACCTTGATCGTCTAAGGTTATGTATTTCCTTTTAACCCTTTGACCTGGAGTGCACATTATATGTTTTGTCCCATTGAAACTGAATGTGTACTACAAGTATGGCTTCAGATTCATATTATGTCCGGGTATTTTCAATTGGACATTACTGATGATATTTTGGGTTTTGAGTGTTTTGAAAGAACGGAGGTAAGTTAACTTGAAAAAAAAAAGGCTCAACGAAATCAAAGCTAAATCAGAGTCTTTAAAGTCAAGTCTATAAATTTACAGTATATCTGCCATAGGGGATGTTTCTCAACTAGATTGTATAACTTAAGACATTTATGTGACAACAAAGTGAAATCAGACATTCGGCAAAATAATGAAATAGAAATTTCTGTATTTTCTTTGTTTGCTTTCATTTAGATAATATTGCTGTGATTTTTGTTTTTGCCATATATGTAGCCTCTTGATTGAGGAACAGTAACAGAAAGGTATTTTCAGTTTACTTTACATCTGTTGCAACTGTCAAGAAAGTAGATCTTGCTGAAGATCTTCTTTGCTTTCCCATGCTAGACCTCGGGAAAAGTCGACTACTGGTTTTATTTTAGAATATTGTCATGTAACCATTTTTCCTATTTTGTAAGGTCCCTTGCGTTTGAGCAGCCACATTTTGATTTTGAAGAGGTACTATTTTTGTTTTAAAGCTAGCTTGAGTATTTTCAGTTTTGATAAGAATTAATTTTGAAGGCCCCTTGCTTTCAGGCAGCCCCATTCCGACTTCGAAGGTACTGTTTTTGTTGTGGGTGTTTTACTTACTTGAGTATTTTCAGTTTTGGTAAGATTTTATTTTGAATTTTCTAATGCAGTTGCGAGCGCCGTAAAACTCTTACTAAAACTAACTAATTTTGAGTTTTGCGTGGATGGTGGTTGAAGGCTACTCTTGTTGATTTTAGGACCACTAAGAGATATCTTTATTGTGCTCAACTTGTACAAGTGACCTCCGAGATTTTTTACCCCTATCTGAATAGCCTTGGTGTTCTGTCTTACCTACCCCAAGAGCAGGGGTGTGGCTAGCAGGGGTGTGGCTAGCAGGGGTGTGGCTAGCAGGGGTGTGGCTAGCAGGGGTGTGGCTGAAAGACGGCAAAAAGAAGTAGTCAGGAACAGCAGTAGAAAGAGTCAAGAGTAGCGGAAAGAGAAGCACAGGGGGAGAGGAAGAAAGTGGTGATGAAAGCAGTTGATAGAAAAGGACTAGAGAATGGGAAAAGAAGACAAAGGAAACCATTTTAGAATTGGCAGAATTCGATCCAGGAACCTTTTGACTGAGAGGCAAACACCTTACCTCTAGACTACGAGAGCCCCTGATGAAGATGATATAAGGAACATACAAAGAAATATAAAAATGTGTCTTGCTAGTATCTATGATCCACCTCTTTCCTCATATTGTTGTATTGTTATATAATGAAATATTGTTTGATCAGTTTGAGTTAGGTCACCTGAGTAAAGGATTTTTAATAGATGAGTTCCATTCTTGGCTGTAGTTGACCTGTGTACCCAGTTCGCATGGGTGAAGTTAACAGTTGGTCAAGTAGGGATGGCACAATATTTGGATTAGCTATAAATGTAAGTTGATAATTTTAAAGAGTTTTGTTAAATGTTTTTTGTTTTTTTTATTTGCTCCCTTTTTCTCTGTGATACTTGACAGTGGTTCAAGTGTGATTGATGTGGTGTTTGTGGTAATAAATCAAGGGGTTTTTAATTAGATTTTGTATGTAAACCCTCTTTTCCCTTGTGATTCATCGTGCTCTATTTCATATTTTTTATATTGACCAGCTTAAAATTGGAATTTGTAACCTCACTTCTGGTTGTAAAGAGTCTTGATTTGATTTACAAGATAAGGGGCTTTTAGAAATGCTAGTAATATTGCTCAAGAGTTTTTGCTGGTGCCCGACTCTGGTACTTGAGAAAAAGATGTTTCACCCGATAGTTCCCAATTTTTCATTGACCTGTCCACCAAACCCTGGAAAGCAGAATGAAAAGAGACCGAGCCGGTATAAGTATGGTGGATATTGGAGTTAATGATGTGGGCAAAAAGAGACGGATCATGAAAAAAAGGCAGCAAACCAGGAGAGGTGCCATCTGGAAGCGAGGGGAAGGCAAAGCTACTCGTCTGCTGTGGTGCCCAGGAGAAGGCCATGTGTAGGAATGTAGTATGCTTGTTGTTTGTTTTGCTGGCAAGGGGGAATCACATGTGTTTGATTAATACTTATTTTTTACTTTTTTCTTCCGCTTGTACCGGGGGGTGTCGCGGGGAGACACTGGCGTCTGTCTGCAGCAAGGCGAGTGGCCTGTAGGAGGGACATCCCGTGAGCTCTGAGGGTGTCTGCCACAGATTCACTCCATCGTCGCCTTGGTCTTCCTCTGGCTCTCCATCCAGAATATTTAATGTTGTATGCTCTCAGAGCTGGATGGTTCGGGGGCATCCGCGTGAGGTGTCCGAACCACTTGACCTTTGTTTTTCAATGTGTGGTAGGACTGGTGTTGCTCCTATGGTGTCCCTTATTACTTCATTTTTAATTTTGTCTCTTCTTGTTTTGTTGACCGCTCTTCTTCAGCATTTCATCTCGCATGTGACCAGTTTCCTCTCTAGGGCTTTTGTTAGGGACCATGTGTGGCACTGATATGTGAGTGTTGGAAGGAAAATGATTAAAATGCCCTATATTAATTGATTACCTATTTTCTTGTTTGTTTTCCTGGAAAGGGGGAATCACATGTGTTTGACTAATTGCCCTATATTTGATTACTTCTTTTTTGTTGTTTGTTTTGCTGGCCAGGGGGAATCACATGTGTTTGACTGATTGCTCTGTATTTGATTACCTCTTTTCAGTTTTTACTGTTCTTCTTCTTAGCTTTCCCAATAGTTGGACATTGCTTCTTACACTTTTCAACAATAAAACACGTTATCTCTTGGCATTCTGCCTACCTGAATTGTTTTGTTTCCAAGCCAAGCTTCTATGTCCTGTTCCAGTAATCTGTTTGGTCTCCCCTTTCCTCTCTTGCCTTCTGCCTTTGCTTCCAGAAAATGGTTCTGGGGTGAATCATGGTATTTGATATGCTTATCTCTTTATCTCTTGCAATTTAGTGACGTTTTTGTCATCTTTAAATTTAATACAGTGGGTGTCGCATTCAACGAGGTTACTGGGACCAGCTTGTTGTCCTCGTTAGATCCGACCTCTCGTTGAACGTGACTAAGGCCAAAGGAAAGGAGACAAGTTGTTATATTACTGGATGTACCAGTACCAGTAATTAAAACAGTTGTTCCCCCTGATGACGAAAATCTCAAACAGCATCAGTGTGTGCATGTTTGAGTTGTGTTCTAACCGTCATTTCTGCATTAAAAAATTATTTTTTTTACGAACACTTCTCATGTGGAAACATACCCTCTCACATCTAGGCCTAGATATCTACATAAAGTAAAGGCGGGAGCTAGGATGTTCTGATCAGGGGAAGAAAAGAAAATGTAAAAAAATGAAGGTCTCGATCTAGACCTACCCATCCAGAGTTTTCCAGTTTCACACAGCCTGCATCGCGTTCCCACCCATCTCCTCCCATCCCTACCGTAGGCTAACCCTCGCCCATCCTCTTTGCTTTGGGGCCCATAATAGGAGGCACACTAGATCTAGCAATACAACGTGTTAGGAATCGATTATGGGCCTTGTGCTTAGCGTGAGATGGAGAGAAAGGAGAAAAATTGTTCGCTTTTGGGGCCGCTAATTGCTTTTATTTGGTTATCGCGACCTCGTTGAAAGCGACTTCGGTCTGTTTACAACCCTGTTGGAGCCGACGTACATTTACAAAGAGATATAGAGGAAAAAATCGGGGATTAAGGATTGCCTTGTCGTTGAATGTGACCTCATTGAATGCGACACCCACTGTACCAAAAAAGGGCCCCAGCATAGTGAGATAAAGAGTTAAAGTATTTTTGTTTCAGTTTTATTAATGTTTTGGAGGCGTTTAAGCATTTCTATAGTGACTCTCTTCTGGAGAAATAACAAAATACCTACTCTCTTCAGTACTTCTTTATTCTTTATTTTCTGATTCCACAATATTCTTTGAGTTCATTTTTGGTGTAATATTTCATTTGTAATGTTGTAATCTTTTTAAAAAATCTTGTTGATTGACAGTTCATACTTCACATATCTGTATACTGTGGTGGAGAATATGTCACTTCTCAGATAATTTTTGTATCTTTACAAAGCTACTTAAACTTTACTAAAATATAAATAATAAACCTCTCCGTGGCACTACTACCTACTGTATTCTTATTGTTGTCTTATGCTTATAATCAGATACCAAAATATTGGTAACACTGACAAATGACTAATGATTTGTGTGAAATTGAATACACTTTCCTACCTTGGTGTAAAAGTTATGACAAAATCTGTATCTGGTTCTATCAAAATGACCAAATTTAAGGGATAACATAGGTTGAGGCCTGGACTTGCACATAAAACTCTTGAAGAGAATTTCTTTTGTATTTGGCCTGATGTAAAAGTGGATTTTCTGCAATTTTTTATGTTTTTAAAAAAAATCTCTTAAATTATGAAAATTCATTTTCTGACTGCTACAGGAATTGTGAAGAATTAAGCAATAGCTTCGATATTATCCTTAATGGAAAAGGCTCTTGGGAAATCACTGAAATTATTATAGTCAATGTCCAAATATAAAAGTTTGAGCATTTTGATAAATTTAGAGTCCAGACTGAATGAATAACAACCTATTCTATATCATGTATACTATAAAACATGGACCATGTTATAACTCCATAGAGCAAGATTATAATAATTTTACTCTTTGTCTTGCATACTGCTCCGTTCCATGATATATATTTTACACGTAGGGGCAAAGCATTATGTACGTATACGCATTTTTCGTCGTAGGTATTTCTTGTTTCTATGGCCTGTAGTTTGAAAAAAAGATCTTAGCTAGATTTTGTAATAAGGAAATCAAATGAAAGTATAAAATGAAGAGTTTGGATCTACGATACTATAAAAAAAAGAGAAGGCAGTATGGTGCCTTCTATCATCTAGTGAAAGAACTAAAACTGCATGTAAATAAGTATCATGAATGTTTTAGAATGTACCCAGCAAAAATCGATATGCTAATGTACTAGGATTCGTGGGCCCCGTGCGCTATTCGCAAGGAATCGTCTCATCATACAAACACAGGGTTTCCCTAAACAGCTCAATCATACTACTCATAGGTATCGGTTGAAAACTTCATTTTGACAACAACTGCTAGCTAGCTCTACTGTACAAGATACAATGTATAATAACACACTACATGCTACTTGGTTTCTTGGATATTGCCAAGTCATGTGCCAATGAAATGGGTAATGAATCACTGCTGACACACAGTGGGAGGGGTGGGTGAGAGCACTCACGCCAAACTACACACATTTTCTCGCCTAAATTCGCATCGCGATTCGTATTTTAAAAAACAATGCATATATTACATATCACATGGAACCGGTTACAGGAAATAGTGAGAGTGACGTATTCTCGTACACATTTTACCAGTACCGTACAATACATACATAATACGGATGTAAAATGTGTACCATGGAACAAGACCTTTAAATCATCTTCTGATATTCCTGAAGGCTGCTGCAATGTATTATTTTCAAAGTTACGCATTTTGCTTTCTATTCTACCTACCCATAATAAAACAAAGAGTGATCTTAGCATGTTGTGTTGGAGTCTGTTTGTTTCCATCAACTAGATTTCCCTCTTCTCACTCAGGCTGTTATGATATATATCTGATGTATAATTTATACCCCCCCCCTCACACACAAACACACATTCACACACATTCGTCTGCTTGACCCTCTGGGTTTAAGGCAGCAAAGCCCTGGAAAGAACGCCAACGACAGAGGGCAGTTTAGTAGTGGTAGCAAGTGATGAAAATCGAGAAAAAGAAGAGATACCACGTGTAAAAAATAGGGGTGGGCCTTTGTTTTATTTAGTGTTTAAGGCCAGTGGCCCACATCACATATAAAGCATACACATTTTACAAAAGAGACTTCCTTAAAACTGCATTTTAAATTATAAATACACGCATATCAATAACATTGATTTAAAAACGTTTTGTGCTACATCTATAGGTTTTTACATAGATCAGATCTATGCCTGTATGTGTGTTAAAAATTGTAGAGTTAGGAGGGAGTGAGATTAATTTCCTTTGATATGCACGGCTTGAACAATAAAGTGAAACTCTTGTTCTTCAATTTCATGAGAATTGCACTTCCCATGTAACAATATGAATGAATTTATTAATTAAAGATTATTACTCAATAGCCGGCTGTGAATTTTTAACAAAGCTTTGACTCTTTCGGTTCCGATACCGTGGGAAGTTGAACAAATACAATGTACTCTGCTGCTTCTTGAAAGGAAATTGTAAGAGAATAGATTAGAATTAAGGCGGATTTCTTCCTCTATCTTATGCACAAAAGTTGATTTAAAATGAAAGCATTTCCAGACGAATTAGTTTCATGAGAAAAAGATAGTAACCACTCACTTGAAAACTGATTATAATTACCGTGATGCAATATACATGTGCATCTGCAAGGTATGTCTGTTGAAACAAGAGCTAACAGACAATGAATGAATGAACACTAAAACACACATAAATAAATATATTTTATAATTATTACTGTCTAAATAAGATTGATTGAATATTGTAACGACCACATAATGAGCTGGGTTGAATGTAATTTTTGAAAACTGTGCTTGGGTGTAGAATCGGAATTTATCTTTTATTGACTTGTATCTTGAGTAGGATATGTGGGGGTTTTTTTTGGTTTTTTTAATTTTTTTTTTTTTTTTACATATTATGTATGTATAGAATCAGATTTGTGTAGGCCTATGCGTGTGTGTGTGTGTGTGGGGGTGGGTGTCTGTCTGCCTGTATGTGTGTGTGCGCGTGTGTGTGTTTGTGTACTCGGCCAGGCCCTGTAAACACCTGATGCATGTTTATGACATAATACGTTTCTGTGGGTTGTACAGCGAGAGCATCACTAGTGCCAGTCTGTGAGAGAGTGAATTACGTGACTGTAGGCCTAAGTATGATCAGTACTTGCACAAGGCGTATGTGTTACCATAGACATTTAAGCGTACTTGTTTGGGACTGACACATCTGGTTGTTAGTGTTAATATAGCTCACATTATGACAAACTTTGTCGATCGTAAAATAACTTGAGCCCATTTAAAAAGAAAAGTTTTACCTTTGTATAAAAAATGTCTAGAAGCTAGAAAGACGCACCGGTGTTTGAAAAAAGACTACATGACATTTGGCCGATATGTTTTGCATCCATCTTTGTTCATGTTTAGACTCGGATGCAGTTTGCTCTCGTTACCAGCCTTCAGAATTTCAATGCATGTACCACTAGCCTATGTCAGCTATTATTTCTGTAGTCAGTACTAAGAGACATAGTAAGCCACCAGGTTTAAAGCAGCGAGCAAAGCCATATTCACAAAGCAAGAAGGCGTGGCTAGTCCATGAGGATCACACGCTACGGGATCAGGAATTTGAGGAATGCATTCTGCTGGCCAACGTTGTGTAAATCTATCAGTGAAGTATCTAACTGTGCCACAGCCGCAAGGTCTTAAGAGCTGCTGTCTACACGTCAGCTGTAATTGCCTAGACCTGTAAATGTAAAATCAACAGAAAATCAGATAACGTAAAAAGACAAAGAATAAATACATGTTTATTAAATTGTTTTGTTTTTTCTCCTCTAATAATATCAAATGAGGAACAGTAGTGCTTGACGAAGCCCACGTACCGTGGGACGCTCGCTGTTAAAAACAATCAGGAAACGACAAGTGCAGTTTTTGGGACACCTAAAGAGACATAAAGTATAAAGGTCTTGAACATCTATCTGCTCTCAGTGGCAAAATTGAAGGCAAACGAGGCAGGGGTAAGCCCAGAGCAACCTGCTTAGGGAACCTAAACAATTGCGTAACGGGGAAAGATCAGGGAAACTTAAATTCTTTTAGAGCATCCGAGCGGAGGAATGAATGGAGAACCATGATCGCTGATGTCTGCCGCAGATCTGGCACTGGATAATGATGAAAAGGCACCGACACACACTCTGACCACGTCGTCTTATCTCTTTATCAAACCTACACGTTGGCAATTAATGATTTGCCTTTAACTATTAATTTACAGTTTAATTAACTATCCACACGTGAATCCACAGGACCAAGACCGGCGCATAATATGGTGTATTGGTAAGGCGCTTCGCCGTCGCACGCAGAAAACTCGGAGTTCCATTCTCGTGCACGGAGAATTTTTGTCGAGAATCCCGGTCTTTCTGCTGTGACGTAACCTTGATCAGGTCAAAGCCCATCTCCAAAACATATTATTATATTGGAGTGAATATATATATATATCTGGGACGTACTAAGATTTAGTATTGGGTCCTCATACCCAACCCAGCGCCTCCCCAGGCCCCAGGTAGTGGACAGGGGAAATGCCTGCAGATATGGAGGTTAGCTGCCAAGCAGTAGCGAGCCAAATGAGAATTGGTCGTGGAGAGTAGAGGAGAACCCTGGTGGCACAGGTGCTTCAATAAATACCTCACACACTCGAAGAAGGGACCATCTTGGCGACGGGAGGCGCCATAAATTCTACCAAGCCCCCACTGCCTTGTGGGTTGTCAGTGGGTGACAAAGGCTAGCAGAGAAAACTGTACACCAACCGGCAGTAGGCAACGGGAAACCACTGCTGTAATATCCCAAGAATAATCATGGAAAAGAAAAAGAAAATTCATTTCTTAGATAACAGTGTTAAGGGGTTCATGTTCCAGCTCTGAACTCCCCGCTCGGTAGGGACCGCCACGGGTAGCAGCTGGTGGCGCTTGATCGTCATCCAGCTACTCGCTGCAAAACTAGAATTAAACAACTTAATTAACATCGCCACGTGGAATGTGAGAACAATGCACTAGAAAGGCAAATTAGATCATAGAGCAGGAGATGGATAGGATGAAGCTAAATAATGTTAGGCCTTTCATAAGTTAGATGGGGGAAAGGGGGGGGGGGGGGACAGGCTTGATTAAAAGAAGATCCAAAATAAATGTACACTCAGGAGGAAAAACCAATGACAGAGGAGTCGGAATTTTATTTGACGAAGCAACAGCAAAGAGCATCAAAGGTTTTTGTGGAGTGTCAGATAGAGTCATCGTGGCTAAATTAGAAGGAAAACCTTTTAACAAAGGTGTTATCCAAATATGCACCAACATCAGAGCATGTCAACGAGGAAATTGAGACATTTTATGAAGACCTTGATATGGCAATGAAACAGTTGAAATCACAAGATGTAAAGGTAGTCATGGGGGACTTAATGCTAAAGAAGGAAGTACACGTATAGAAGATACAGTTGAGCCATTGGGACTGGGTAAAGAGAATGAAGGCGGGGAGCGACTGATGATAGAATGGTGCAGAAAAAATAATTTTATGAGCTCAAACACCAGGTATGAAAATCACCCAAGAAGACGATACACTTAAGGAAGAGACCTGGCGATAGAAATAGAAATCAAATAGACTTCATACTTATTCAGAAACGTTTTAGACATGAATTTAAATCGTCTAAACCACTGCTATGAGTAGACTGTGATAGTGATCATGTACCAGTCACGTGTAAAATGCAGATAAGACTGAAGAAACTTAAAAAGTCAAAGTACCTACTAAAATTTGAAATAGATCTTTTAAAGACAAAACAAGAACTAAAAGAATGTTTCTCAGTATATGTTAGCAATACATTTCAAGCTCGGAAAACATAACTAAATCTGAAGAAATATGGAGGAAAACGAGGATGGCTGCGGAGGCCACTGCCATTGAATGGCATTGGACTCCTTAGAAAATTCTCCTAACAAATCTTTCCTTATCCTTTTTGACTCTCTGTCTTGCATCACCTCACTTACAAACAACACACTCTTACACCCAAAAATAGTTGGGCTACAACAACAAAAATACACGCCTTGACTGAAACCGGGAAAAGTATCGTGTTCGCATGGATACCTAGCCATGTATGCATCCGAGGAGATGGGCAGGTAGATGACCTGGCGAAGAAATCCTTATCCCTTTTGTTGGGAACCACGACGAACACTCTCCCACAGACTGACTTTAAAAATAAAGTAAAAAAGTACACTTCCAGTCTGTGGGAGAGCCATTGGAAAAAAACACAACAAATAACAAACTTCACAACATTAAACCCAAACTGAGACCGTGAAATCCTTCGGGCTTCTCCAGAAAAGACGAAGTCATTTTTACTAGATCACGCTTCGGACACACGGCCCTAACACACAAATACCTCCTTCAGGGAGATAAGAGGCCATTCTGTGTCGGATGCGAAACAGATTTTACCATTAAACACATTTTAACCGAATGTCTAGACTTTGGAGAGACCCGAAGGAATTACTTTAAATGCAAAAATTGCCACATATTTTTTCCGTCGCTGTTCTCAACAGAATTTTAGATTTTATGAAGGCCATTAGCCTTTATGGGAAATAATAAAGTGAAATTAAATTATTTTAGAAATGTATGTTATTTAGGAAAGTTGTTTTAGATTGAAAATATATTTACACCAAATTTTAAATATTCTAACATTCTAAAATCTTACTATTGACCCGAGCCCAGCCGTACAGTGAACTGTTGCGAATATAACTAACTTGTGTTTTGCGCGCTCAATGTGACCTTATGCTGTCGCGGGCGCCGTAAAACCCCATGCTAACCAACTAACAAAAAGACTCAATAATGGAAGCTATGGAAGAAAATATCCCCCCGAAAGCTAAAAGAGCAAATAAAAAAAGGATAACCAAGGACATATTAAAACTAAAATTAATGGAAGAGAGAAGACAGGCAAAATTAATGGGGGAAAGTACATCACAGGGAAATAAAGAAAAAACGCAACGAAGCAAAAGAAACATGGATAAATGATCAGTGTCGAGAAATAGAGAAGAACCAAAACAAAGACAGCAAATACATGCATTCCAAAATCAAAGAAGTAAGTGGGATAGCAGAACTTTTCAAAGATAATGGAGGAGAATAACCGGTAGTAAAGAATGAAATAAACGGACCACCAGTACTGAAAGCAGAAGTACAAACCGTCATTAGGAAAATGAAACAAGGAAAAGCCACAGGGCCAGATAATATTGAAGTTGAAGTGATAGCCGCACTTGAAGAACTAGGAACTGGAATAACAACAAAGCTCTTAAAAGAATGGCGAAAATATTAGTAACATCAGATATGCCAATGACACAGTTTTATAGCAGACTCAGAAAAGGGCATTCACTCTGTTCTAGATACTGTTGCATCAGAAAGTGAACGAAGATGATTATTGTTGAATGTAAAGAAAACAGAATGCAACGATCAATAAAGTCCAACAGTTTAATAATCTAGGATATATAATAACATCTGATGCCAAATGTTCCACAAAAATAAAACGGATAATTGCAATCGGTAAGGCTAGTTTCAATAAAATGAGCGCAATTCTGAAAAATAGAAACATCTCAATGACTACCAAAATGAAAGTTCTGAAATACTATTTACGGTCAACCCTTCTATATGGCTGTGAATGCTGGACTATCACTAAAGACAGTGAAAATTAAATAGAAGCAACATAATTTTTGTATATTTTTAGGTGACTGTTGAGAACATCGTGGAAGTAAAAGAAATCAAATGAGGAGGTGCTTGATGAAGCCTACGTTTGACACTCACTGTTAAAAACAATCAGGAAACGACAAAAACAGTTTTTGGGACACCGCTGAATCGACATAAAGGTTTTGAACATCTAGCTCTCACTTCCAAAATTGAAGACAAACGAGACAAGGGTAGGCCCAGGGCAACCTAGTTAGGGAACCTAAACAATTTGCTAACGGGGAAAGATCAGGGAAACGTAGCTTTTTGAAAGAGCATCCGAGCAAAGGAATGGATGGTGAACCATGATCACCGATGTCTGTCTCAGATCTAAATTTAGCACTGGGTGAATGAAAGAAGATATATATATATATATATATATATATATATATATATATATATATATATATATAATATTTGTGTGTATGAGTGCGCATGCGCGCTTGAGTGTGTGTGTGTGTGTGTGTGTGTGTGTGTGTGTGTGTGTGTGTGTGTGTGTGTGTGTGTGTGTGTATGTGTGTGTGTGTAAAACATTACTGTGCTCAGTCAAGCTTACTAAAAGTTGTTTTTAATGACCTCACATTCAGTCGTTTGGAAAACCTTAAAACTTTGAGTCAAACTTGCGCCAGAAAAAACTGCGGGCCGTATTAAAATGTCAATTACGGGTCCTTGTGGTCTAGTGGTTACGGTATTCGCCTCTCATTCAATAGATCCCGGGTTCGAATTCGGTCGACAGCGACGGAATTTTTTTTCCTCTATATGCTGAATGCAAGTACATAGTCAGACATGCAGGGTAGTCTGGGTCGTTTTTCCAAAGCCTGCGACGACTTTCGCCTCACCTTCTTTCCTGTTGTCTAAAATGAATGTTCTGTCGTCTACTTTCGTCTCCATTTTCTTCACCTCATTTGCCCCCTCCTCTATGCTCCTGACTCTTTCTACAGCCTTTCTACTGCTACTCCGTGGCTCTTTCTTACTGCTGTCTTTCAGCCACACCCCTAATCTTGTAGTAGGTAAGATCCAACACCTAGCCTTTTCGGATAAGGGCGAAAAATCTCGGAGGTCCCGTGTCCAAGTTGCGTACGTTAAAGATTCCTTGGTGGTCCACAACGATAAGAGTAGGCCTCTGCCGCAACACGGGCAAAATTCAGAATTTCCCACCAACTGAAAATGTTTGATGTGTCCCGCTCGCTCATACGACCTTATGAGTTGCGAAAGCCGTAAAACACTTACCAAAAAGAAAGTGTCAGCATTGACAAAGTGAAGAGCGTTTTGTTTCCACGAGCAAGTTTTCATTTTGAAGAATCATGCATTGTGGATAAGCAAAGGAGAATCAAAGGATTTTAGTCTAATAAACTCAACTATTCTTTCATCTCCTCATGAGGCAATGAAGAACACGATATACTCACGCGCAAGTCACATTATGCTCGGCAAAGACATCAGCGCTGCCGCTCTGAAGAGTGCTGTTTTTCTTTATGTCTGTCTCGCATTTCAACGTAAGTTCCCATTTGCTTTCTAGACAGTTGACGTCAAACGATCCTAGGGAATTGCAGAAGAGGGGAAGGGGGGGGGGGGGTGATGCCACTGTCTCATTTAAAAAATGATGTTATGCTATTACTTATTATATTATGCGTGTCACTACTCGTTGGAATGAAGCGCTCATCAATATTTGTGCATGTGGAGTTATTGGTATCATCTTAAAGCTTGTTCATTTGCCCTTCTTTAGATGGAAAAATACCCACCTGTCTTCACTAGAAGTCGAGACATTTGCAATTGAAGAAGGTGGGGGTCGCCTGACGTCAAAGGTAAAACAAGCGAGAAAATCGCCGCCAAAGTTTGGTAACTTTTAACGCTGCAATGTCCTTGGAAACTGCAAATTTACCTTTGTCGTGCTTTTGATCAACCTTTTTTTTTGGGGGGGGTAAAATCGGTATGCATTTTTAAACGGCAACCAAAAGTGTTGAGCCCCCCAAAAAATAAAAATAAAACCCCCTAAAAACGTTACCCCACAAACGGAAAAAATATCGTTTTCTTCAATGTTGTTAATTTGAAGATCACCTGATTCCACCACGAGGAGTGGATAGCCTTGGACTACCTTAAATTATTGTTCCTAAATTATAAAAAACAATTGTAATTATATTATGACAGTGTTCATATTTCGGTCCTACTGACGTGGAATATGAAACGCTTAATGTAAGTAACATGTTTTAAATCACAAACTGCCCCAGTGACCCACCCGATCAAACGATTAAACTCCAAAAATTGTATATTTTCACTAGAGTTTCCAAGTAATGGCGTATGTCAAGTTGGTAACGGAAAGGAACATTCTTAAACACAGTAAACAGATAGAGACCTCTCTCTTCACTGTTGTTCAGAAGTAAGGTTCAATATTCTGCACTAGAGTGGTGAAAACATGTCTAATCGATTATACAAAAATTGAGTGATATCATGACTACTTCATTTTCTTTAAAAAGTGCTATACCACATTTCTCCAATTCGTTATAAAGTCGCATATTATATATAAGCCTATATAAAGTACCGTGTACTATCACCCTCCTACTCACTACCAAGAATACGCATAAGTATAAGACAAAAATAATGATGCGTTTCTGAAGGTAAAGCGTTTACCAAAAAATGAAAGGATCTCCCTAGTCCTTTCAAAATCTAGTTCCTCTCCTCGACTCAGGTTAGGAAAAAAAGACCCAATACTTTTTCCTCTCATCTTCACAGCAGAAATCATTGCACCCACTAAAGCATTAGAAACCCCCCCCTTTTCGTCCCGCCCCCGAAAACAACAAAAGAAAAAAAAGTGGTGCAAACGAAGGTAACTAACTTTAATTGTGTTGAAAGACTGTACTAATCTGCAACCTACCAATAGCTCCGGAAGAGTGAAAGACTCACCTTTATACATACACATTTGTTTCAAACTTTCTTCGAATGCAGTCTTCCAATCTGTCATGTTGACTGCTTGTATTTGTTGACACGTTGTCCCTAGCTGAATAGTACATTCATAAGCTTTTATTAAGTTGTCTTGCTTACTGAGAAAAAAAGATAAAAAAAGTATACGTAGAGATGAATTAAACAGACAACAAACAAAAAAACAACAACAAACAAACAAAAACTTAACAATATAGAGTATTCAGAATTCTCGATTAAGAACGGTGAACTTAGACCCCCAAGGCAAAATTAAAAAAACAAATCAATAAATAAAAATAAATAAATAATTAAATAAATAACTAAATGAATGAATAAATAAATAAATAAATAAACAAATAAATAAATAACTAAATAACTAAATAAATAGAGAAATGAATAAAAAATAGTATTGTAATACAGCGTTAGAGTACATGTGTGTGTGTGTGTGTGTGTGTGTGTGTGTGTGTGTGTGTGTGTGTGTGTGTGTGTGTGTGTGTGTGTGTGTGTATGTATGTATGTATGTATGTATGTATGTATGTATGTATGTATGTATGTATGTATGTATGTATGTATGTATGTATGCCTGCGTGCGTGTGTGCATTGTGTATGTATTTATGTGCGTGTATCTGTGTGTATATGTATGTATGTGTGTATGTATTTATGTGCGTGTATCTGTGTGTATATGTATGTATGTATGTATGTATGTATGTATGTATGTATGTATGTATGTATGTATGTGTGTATGTATGTATGTATGTATGTATGTATGTATGTATGTATGTATGTATGTATGTATGTATGTATGTATGTATGTATGTATGTATGTATGTATGTATGTATGTATGTATACCATGTATGTAAGTATGTATGTATGTATGTATCTGCGTGTGTGCGTGCGTGCGTACGTGCGCGTGTGCGCGTGTGCGCGTGTGCGCGTCTTTGCAGACGACTATGTGCTGAATGCAAGTACATAGTTAGACATGCAGGGTAGTCTGGACCGTTTTTCCAAAGCCTGCGACGAATTTCGCCTCACTATCTTCACAAAGAAGACCGAAGTACTGTGCCAGCTAACCCCATCAACTCCTTACATAGAGCCTCAATTATTTACCATCAACAGCCAGGGACTGGCATTGACAGTTAAGTTTGTTTACCTGGGCAGCACCCTTTCTCGCTCGGTCAATATCGACGAAGAAGTGGCCTACACAGCTGCCAGATCTAGTTCATCCTTCGGCAGACTAAAAGACAAGGTCTGGGAGCGAAGAGGACTGAGCACCAGCACCAAGCTCAAAGAGTATAAAACGGTAGTTCTACTATCCCTGCTCAAAGCCTGCGAAACGTGGACTGTCTACAGCTGGCATGCCAAGCAGCTCAATGCCTTCAACAGGAGATGCCTCAGGACCCTGCTCCGTATCAAGTGGCAAGACAATCCCGGACACTGAGGTGCTACAGCGGGCCAAGATGGAGAGCATAATATTTTACGCTATCTTACTGTGCTCTCAGCCCCGGTAGGCCGGCCACGTTCACCGCATGGACGACTCTCGCCTTCTAAAGAGTTTATTCTATGGTGAGCTGACTCTAGGCAAACGTTCTCTCGGGTGCCAGAGAAAACGCTTCAATGAAGCTCTGAAAGCACCCCTGAAGAGATGTGACATTCCACCTACCATCTGGGAAAAAGCTGTTCGCGATCTCACATTGGGCGCTCCTCTGTAAAGATCTGGAGTCACCAAGTTCGAAGAAAGAAGCATCAGAGAAAAAAATGGAGACAGCAGTTGAGAAAGACCGAGAGAGCCCTACCTTCCAGTCTAGTTCAGCACCAAACATCCCCTGCCCCCACTGCAAGAGGAGACAAGAAGAAGAAGAAGAAGAAGAAGAAGAAGAAGAAGAAGAAGAAGAAGAAGAAGAAGAAGAAGAAGAAGAAGAAGAAGAAGAAGAAGAAGAAGAAGAAGAAGAAGAAGAAGAAGAAGAAGAAGAAGAAGAAGAAGAGAGAGAGAGAGTGAGAGAGAGAGAGAGAGAAAGGAGAGAGAGAGAGCGAGTGAGAGAGAGAGAGAGAGAGAGAGAGAGAGAGAGAGAGAGAGAGAGAGAGAGAGAGAGAGAGAGAGAGAGAGAGAGAGAGAGAGAGAGAGAGTGAGAAACGGGGAAGGAAGGTAGATAGATAGTTCAACAGAGCGCTGAGCTTCTACACAGAAGAGTGGCCCATCAGAGTTGATGGGTGTTAGTAGAGATCAAACGGACCTTAAAAAAGCAGCTAGTTTTTCAGATAGCTAACAGCTACATACAGAGTATGAAATGCCAGGGGAGTAGGAACTGTCTTTGTCTACTTCTACTCGAATTATTTCCCTTTCAGCCTGGTCTTAAATAAACAAACAACAACAACGATTACTAACAACAGCAACAGCAAGAAACAGCAACAACAAAAAAACAACAAGACAAACAAGTTTCGTGCAAAATAATCCTAAAGAGACTCTGCCAAGGCATCAAACACAAAGGACACAATTTGAACAAGAACTAACTTTCCATTAATTTACTTCTCTAAGACATACTGGCAATATTTTAGTGCTGTTGCTAGCTGGGAAAACATGTGTTCAGTGATGTGAACAGACGCATATGATTCCTCTGGTGTAGATATTCCATCTGACTCTTCGGATGATTCATATGTAGGCGGGGTACAAGCTTCTTTTGCCAGATAAGACAAATCATCTGGTGGCTCGAGTCCATTTGATGAGTAGCACTGGGCAATTGCCTGTTGAAGAAAAGATACAATCAGCCCAACTTAACAAAACGATTACATTATATATATAATATATTTATATATAATAATAATAACGATAATAATAATAATGATAGATAGCTAGATAGCTAGATAGATAGCTAGATAGCTAGATAGATAGATAGATAGATAGATAGATAGATAGATAGATAGATAGATAGATAGGTAGATAGATAGATAGATAGATAGATGGACGGACAGACGGACGGACAGACAGATGGATGGATGGATGGACGGGTGGATGGATGGATGGAGACTTCAACATAAGTTAAGGACCACTTGCTAACACTCTTGCAACACAAATAGGTGAAGAGCAAAACATTTGAAATGTTAAAGATAGTTAATAGAATAATTTCTTAACAAAATCAATTAATCAATTAATTTCAGAATGATGACGTCACGAACTTAAGTAATATATCGCTCGGAACAACAGTACCCCTCAAAAGAAAAACCCAGGAATTATTGTCTATGACAGTCCGTTAAAAAAACGGGAGTGCCCATTACGCTGAGCAATGCAATTAAGGCGGCGTCGCCTCAAGATGTTGATGTTGGTGGCAATGACAGCCTGAAGAAGGTTTTGCCCACTCCTGCTGCAGGATCTGTAGCAGCTCTTGTCTTGGCTGTTGGCTGGTCTTGGCATTCTTGAGATCCCTACTTGCTTGATGAACGTGTTTACTGCTCTGCAACAATGTGGGTGGCGTTGTCGTCCTTGAGTCTGGAGTATTGCATGTTGGCGAATGTGCAGGAGACCAACTGTGACGAGTGGTTGCAGAATCTCTTGCAGGTGCCGTCAGCCATTCAGAATACCATCAATATTATGGTAAAGGGGGGTTTTCTTGTGTGTGCTAATCCCACCCCATACCACTATGGAGCCACTATCAAAGAAAGTCACTTCCTGCATATTAATGTGCATCAACTGTTCTCGTGGACGCCGCCACACACGCACGCGTCCATCTTTTGGGTTGACCATCGATCGTGACTCATCTGTGAACAATACATGGCCCCATTAGGCTCTTGTCCATGGGCCCCTGTTCATGGGCCCCGCACCAAACAAGACGGCTTGCCTGGTGTCCAGCGGCCAGCCTTGGTTTCTTGGCTGGACGCATGGTACGGATGTTGGCAGCACGCACACAACTCCGAATGATCTGGAACTGATCCAGTGGCTTGATGGCGCTGCCTCAGGCGGACAATGACAGAGTGTGACTCTGCAAGCCTTCTGGCAACTTCCCGGGCTCCAACTCCATCCTGCAGCCATGCCATAGACCTGGCAAGATCAAAGTCTCTCAGCTTTCCTCTCGGTGGCATGTTGATACGATGCTGGATTTTGCGCAAACGGCGCCCTATATTGCCACCAAAGGTGAACACAGTTCGAGATCATACGTCCGTTTATCACATGCACCAAATATTTTAATTAAGGGATTCCATGGTGTCGCACACAAATCGATAAAAACAGCAAATTTTGCAAAAATTCCCCGAGGGTTTCCGTGCTGCTTGTGGTGGTTTTTTCCCCTTTAGGAAGCTTTGCAGTACGCATTTTAACCCATAAACACTTTAAGAGCAAAAAATTTTGAAACGTGCCTTGCTGTCTATTTTTCGGATAAAAAAAAAATCAGGGCTGTCTGTCAAGATGGTCCTTAATTTCTGTTAAGTCTGTAAATACTGTGTTACAAAAGTTTTGTCACACCCATCTTCAAAGTACAATAACTAATTTACTATTCAACATAGTCAAGCGAAATTTGCATGATCGCCTTGAAGCACAAAGTGGCAATCCCGAAAAATGCTGTTTTGAGAAGATCGAAGGTAAAGGTTTTGCCCCTTGTGCAGTTTCATTAAAGGACAAGGAGAGTTTTCTCTATAGCCAAACAAAATATACACACCAATGAAACCAAACTTCCCTTATTGGTAGGGAAATGTCCTCTTTTGGTATAGGTCAAGGTTTCTGGAAAATCCCCAAGATCTGGGTTAGCCCGCTTGTCCTTAAAAGCGACCATATGCGATCTTCATTCATTTTCTGCCAACATGACATGGAAAGAAATGACCATTGTCTTTCCTTATTCCCATGAGATAATTTTATTCACACTGACCCTTGCAAAATCCAAAAAAAATGTGCGCAGTATTTTGTGTGGCCTCTTCCAGCTTGATTTACTGCTACAAAACGTCTGTTCATTGACTGAATATGTGTCTTTATGGTAACTTGAGAAAGCCCCAGCGATTCCTTGTGAAGTGCAGCCTTCAGTTCCAGACGAATTTGCACAGGGTGTGGCCAGTTTCTAATCCTCCAGTCAAGGCATCTTGCAGTTGTTCTGTTGGGTTAAGGCCTGTTTATCTTGCAGGCAAGTCCAGAACCTTGATTTGGTGGGTTTAGAAGGAGCTTTCACGTGAGGTCAGGAGTTGTCTTGTTGGCACATTCTATCATCCGTGCCATGTAAGGAAGGACTAGAGAACGAAGAATTTCGCCACAATACCGTCTTCCTTTAGTAGGCCTACTTTAAAATCTATAATTCATCTTTTCATGTTTAAAAAAAAATATTATACATACTTCACTGTCTTTTTAGCCATTGTTCATCATTCATAATCGGAGTGATCTCAATGTTTGGTCACGGAAAACCCTACACTCTTTACAATCCACCGGACGTTTTTGATTATCAGGATCCCTGGTAATTGTAGACCTAGGCTATACTGAACCAAAGAGGTCAATCCATAGAGGAGCAGAGCAAGGATTGTATCTTATTTCTGTATCTCTTAAACTTTTACATAGAAATATATGGATGGCTGGAAGGCGTCACTGGTAAAGCCCTTCTTCATTACTTTCCCACTCTTGTTTCTGTCTATGTGTCTTTACTTTTTCCCCCTGCACTAAATTACCATTATTGTGTCGGTGCGCGATGTGCCTCTCTTGTTTTTTCTTTTAAAAAACCCAAATATTCTGAGAAATATCTTGCAGACAGAGAAGGAAACCAATACAGAAATGAAAAACCCCACTCACCTCTTCACAGTTCTGGCATGGATCCGCAACAGACGCCTTACAGGTTCCTGTAGTCATTGCATGTCGAATCCGGGAGCAGGTCAAGGTACATGACAATTAATAGATTAATAATAATAATAATAATAATAATAATAATAATAATAATGATAATAATAATAACAATAATAATAATAATAATAATAATAATAATAAATTACAATTTTATTTGTCCTAGAAAGGCACTTTGTTTTACAATGGCAAACATACATATATAAATACATAATTATACATACGTACATACATACTTACATGCATAAATACATATATAAATACACACTATTACACAAATACAGAACAGTTTACAAACAATGCCACTGTCGGTCGCCACTGTGTAGCGCCCTGTATTTTGAGCTAGGGTTGTCTTGTCTTGCTCAAGGACACCCAGTGACCACCCATCTGGTCCCCGTGTCACCGACATTTGCTTGACATTGCTTGAGTCAAAACTCACTACTCACTCAGCCGCTGGAGCCCCCAGTTATAGAAACAACTCGTCATGGCGCCAAACGAATGGCCTAAGTCAGACTTACATCATTTGTAAATTGATACAGAATTTAATTCTGTACTGACTCCAGCAGGTTCCTTTTTTTCAAATTTAAGAATTCGTAAAAGTGCTTAAGTCTTAATTAGATCTATTGTAGAAATGAGGATGTTAATTGAAGTTTTCTCAAAAGGGAAAAAAAGGGACTAAGGCCATTTGTTAAGCACCATGACGAAATACTCATATTATTACAGAATGAATGGGAGGGCCAGATATCTGAGGGAATGGAGAACGAAGGCCAGATTATCCTTTCGTTAAATATAATAGACTAAATGCGTATAAAGTATAGACAACTTCAGTGCAGCAATGAATCGTGCAGAATACCTATTGGGAATTCGCTACCAATACAAATACAGAAATATATACATATATATTATA